CTCTACGAGTTGCAGAGCAACCCGCACATGTAGATGCCGCCGTAGATCTCCTTGTAGTTGACTCAGGCGACGATGGAATAGTCGCCCCAGAACAAGAGCAAATGAGGAGCATAGTGGAAGAGGCGATTAGGGAAACGCGCAGTACGCCTCTCGAGAATCGACCGCGACTTCCCCGTATACCCCTAAGCAAGCGGAATCGGGCTGTCGTGAGGGCTCTCAACCCAATGCTGGTGAACTATTTGGAAGCCAGCCGGGACCTTTGCGAGACGGACTCAATTCTTTTTGGCGCCGCACTGGCAGTTTGCCGTATTATTGGCGCCAAACTTCCCAAGGCTGGACGCGCTACTAGACAAAGTAGCGCCTTCCCAGCCTGGAGAAGAAGGATTGAGGACCGTATCGCAAAGGCAATTGCCCTCATCGGCAGGCTGATAAGCTTCAGGTCGGGCAATAATAGGCCGAGAATTGTGCGCACCGTCAGGATGGCGTTTGCTGGGACAAACATCAGTTTGTCCCAGCCGGATATAACGCAAAAACTGACGGAGCGTATAGACGACCTGAAGCAGAGAATCGCTGCTTGGGGGAAGCGGATTCGGCGATATACCGAGATGTCGACACGGTTCAACCAGAATCGTCTCTTCCAGAGTGATCAGAAGAGGCTCTATGAATCATTGGAGCGACCAATGGTACGTTGAACGGGCCCAGCACCGAATCAGGCCGACACTATCGCATTCTGGCGCGGCCTGTGGTCAGAGCCCGTAAACCACAGTGAGGGCCCTTGGACGGAAGTTGTGGCGAGTCAGTGTGCGAATGTTACGGCCATGGACCCCCTCATCATTACGCCGGATGACGTAGCTGAGGCGGTCCGTAGGGCCCCGAACTGGAAAAGTCCGAGACTCGACGGACTGCATCACTACTGGCTGAAGGGGTTCGTGGTGTGTCACGCTGTTCTCGCCCGACAGTTTCAAGAGGCTCTCGACCAAAAGTCGCTCCCGAGCCTCTTCACTACTGGGATCACTCATTTGGTTCCTAAAGACCGAGATTCCACAGACCCGAGCAAATACCGCCCCATAACGTGTCTACCTACCATATACAAGACACTAACATCCATTTTGAGCGCCAGAATCACTCGTCACCTGAACTCAAATCAGGTGATGTCGCGCGCTCAAAACGGATGTCGGGGCGGCGGTCGTGGAACCAAGGAACTCCCCTCATTGACGCGGTCATTGGCAAGGTGGTTAAACGCAACCGTCGGAACCTCTCCGCCGCCTGGATAGACTACAAAAAGGCATTCGACTCGGTGCCTCATACATGGCTGAAGAGGGTCCTCGAGCTGTACAAGGTTGACTGTACAGTTCGAGACTTCCTCGGGCAGTGTATGGGGCAGTGGAGTACGATCCTTTGTCATCTAGGCGAGCGGATGACGGCTGCGGAGAACCACATAAGGATAAGAAGGGGTATCTTCCAGGGCGATTGTCTGAGCCCAATCTGGTTCTGCCTCTCTCTGAACCCTCTTAGTACCTTACTGGCGGGTTCCGGGAGGGGATTTCAGCTTCGGAGAGGAGGTAAAAAAGTGACCCACCTTTTCTATATGGATGATCTCAAGTTATTCGCCTCCAGTCGCTCTCATCTTATGGAATTGCTAAACATCACTTGTGATTTTAGCAATTCTATTAGAATGGAGCTGGGGACGGATAAGTGTGCGGTCCTCCATGTCGAAAGAGGTAGGGTTGCTAACTCTGAGGGCATAGACTTATCTATGCCCATCAACATAAAGACCCTATCCGAGGCTGAAACATACCGATACCTGGGTATGTCACAGAACATAGGTATGGATGAGGCGGACATGAAACAGTCAGTTTGCGGTGTGTTTTATGCACGCTTGACAAAAGTGCTTAACAGTCTTTTGTCGGGCGTTAATAAGACACATGCATATAACGGTTGGATCATGCCTGTTCTCATGTATACCTTTGGCATGCTCAGGTGGACTCAGACCGAACTGAACGCTCTGGACAGAAAAGTCCGCACTATAATGACGTCCCACAGGATGAATCATCCGAGATCGTCAGTAATGAGGCTGTACTTGCCGCGGAAGCATGGTGGGCGCGGCTTTTTAAGCGCGCTTACCATGCATAATCGCGAAGTGTGCAGCCTCCATAATTACTTTCTGACGAGAGCGGATGATCCATTCTATAGGGACGTTATTTCTTGTGATAAAGGACTTACCCCTCTATCCTTAGCCAACGAGCAATGGCAAGACCCGGCAGTACAGAGCATTTCCGACCGGGAGACCGTATGGAAGGAGAAGGAGCTCCACGGGAGGTTCTACAAGGCTCTACATGAGCCTTGCGTAGACACAGTCGCCTCCCTCCACTGGCTACGTTTCGGTGACCTCTTTGGGGAAACCGAGGGTTTTGTCTGTGCGATACAGGATCAGGTTATTAAGACCAACAATTATCTGAAATACATCCTAAAGGATGGCGCCGTCGACATCTGTCGAGCATGTCGCCATCCCGGTGAGTCACTTAGGCATGTCATCTCCGGTTGTTCGGCGCTTTCTAACTCTGAGTATTTGCACAGACACAACCTAGTAGCCAGGATTCTACACCAGGAGCTCGCTCTGAAATACGGTCTCGTGGATCGGAAACTGCCATATTACAATTACTTGCCGGAAGCCGTGCTCGAAAATGACCGCGCCAGGCTCTACTGGGACCGGGCCATCATCACGGACAGGACTATTCTTGCGAATAAACCTGATATTGTGCTGATGGACCGGGCACAGTCAAGGATATTTTTGGTCGACATTACCATTCCTTATGACGAGAACCTCGTGAAAGCCGAAACAGATAAGTTGACAAAATATCTGGACCTGGCTCACGAGGTGACTGACATGTGGGGTGGTCTGCCGGCCGAAATTATTCCTGTGGTCGTCTCTGCGAACGGGTTAATCCCAGTCAGCCTCTCGGGTCATCTGAGGCGACTGGGACTCCGTGACGGATCGCTCCAAGCTCAAATGCAGAAGGCGGTGCTCCTCGATACCGCCCGCATCGTCCGCCGGTTTCTTTCCCTTTCCCCCTAACCCTCGGCCGTTTGGTCTCCCCTGCCGAGGGCTTCCATCTGGTTGGGTTTTTATATATTTATGTAATTTTTATGTATTTATTTTATTTTATTGATATTTATGTAAGTTTATCATTTTCATTTACAATTATATATTTATACAGCCCAACCAGATGAGAAAACTATACAAATACCCCATAATAATAATAACTACTTTCTGTTGAGATCGGGTGATCCATTCTATAGGGACGTCATTTCGTGTGATAAAGGGCTCACTCCTCTATACTTAGCCAACGAGCAATGGCAAGACCCAGCAGTACAGTGCATTTCCGACCGGGAGACCGTATGGAAGGAGAAGGAGCTCCACGGGAGGTTCTACAAGGCTCTACATGAGCCTTTCGTAGACACAGTCGCCTCCCTTCACTGGCTACGTTCCGGTGACCTCTTTGGGGAAACCGAGGGTTTTGTCTGTGCGATACAGGATCAGGTTATTAAGACCAACAATTATCGGAGATACATCCTAAAGGATGGCGCCGTCGACATCTGTCGAGCTTGTCGCCATCCCGGTGAGTCACTTAGGCATGTCATCTCCGGTTGTTCGGCGCTTTCTAACTCTGAGTATTTGCACAGACACAATCTAGTAGCCAGGATTCTACACCAGGAGCTCGCTCTGAAATACGGCCTCGTGGATCGGAAACTACCGTATTATAAGTACTTGCCGGAAGCCGTGCTCGAAAATGACCGCGCCAGGCTCTACTGGGACCGGGCCATCATCACAGACAGGACCATTCTTGCGCCGGTTGCTTTCCCTTTCCCCCTAACCCTCGGCCGTCTGGTCTCCCCTGCCGAGGGCTTCCATCTGGTTGGGTTTTTATATATTTATGTATTTTTTATGTATTTATTTTATTTCATGGATATTTATGTATGTTTACCATTTTCATTTACAATTATATATTTATACTGCCCAACCAGATGAGAAAACTTTATAGATACCCCAAAATAATAATATTTATTAATAAACTTAGTATATATTATTATGTTTCTTTATCATTTTTTTATTAATTATTTTGTTATGAAATATTGTTCACATTTATTATTAAATTATTTTGTGTTGCACATTTATTGTAGAAATATTCTGTCATAATTAAGCACTTAATTATTTGTTTCTCTTTCTTCCCTATTTGTAACTCTACCACATATAAAAATAGTATAGTGCGAGTTATTTAGATGTGTACAGTCAGGTAGCTATTAACTTAAATATTAACACAATTTCCCTTCGATAGCTCTACTATCTGGCTGCACATGAATATGGCAGGTGTATTAGACCCTACAGACCCAAACTAAGTTTTCTAGCAGTCCTTTATACCCTATCCCTACCATATAAATATATTAAGTGTGGGATGTCTGCACCATGAGACCTAAGGTCAGAGACAGGAGACAGATTTTCTCACTACCAGTCAAGCAGACTCACAAGACTAATCAGGGGTTCTGACGGCCAAAGGTGTTTTGGCCGCAGTGTGAGGATAACCAGGCGTCTTGGCGATTATAACGTAGTCGTGGTCCAGCGTTGAAAGAGTGTTTTATTTTACAATTTGTTATAATTCTTAGAACTTAATACTAATACAATTTTACATTATACACTAAAATTACTCAGCAACAACTACTAGTGTACGTGAATTTGATAACGCGGTCACTGGGCTGCTGCGTTGCAATGTTTAGTGCTGAACAAGATGAATCTGTTATGAGGTGATCACCAGAGCCTTTTTCATTAGCCACCACAGGGCACCACATGCAGCATACCATTTATTTATTTATGTAACCATATAAATATAAATAGTTAAGCATTTGTTCATATAGTGTAAGGGAAAATATATTTCTTCATGACCTAACTTGGAAATCGTGGTTGGCTGTTGTGACGTTTGGTGTTGTTGTACGGTGTGGCGCAGGTGGAGTACCAGCAGTCGTTCGGCGCGGAGCGCGTGGCGAAGTGGGCGGAGGCGATCCAGCGGCGCGGCGGCGAGGTGGAGGCCGGCTACTGCGCGCGCGTCACGCACGTGCTCTGCGAGACGCAGCGCCACGGCGTCGTCATGCAGGTCAGCCCTGCGTCTCGCCTTACTGCTGTCATACTGACAAGCGTGGGTTTTGGCGGGAAATTGAACGTTGCTGCTACTGTTTAACCGTTTTTAATTAATGGTTTTGTTCGGTGAAACCGAACACCTTTATCAGCAATTGGCGCCATGCCGCCAATTTGTTTAGTGCACTTTCGTTACGCAACAGTGTCGGGTGCATTCACAACAATTTATTAACATTTTTGTAACTGTTTTAAATAAAGTGATTTTTTACTATTTCGAAAGTTATCAATTCAACATTCTTAACAAACAACCAGACACACCCCCGACATCTGGTCCTTCGAGCCGGATTTTTAGTGAGTTTCAAGTGTGAGCAATCGGTCCACTGGCCTCCCACAAGCGGGTCTCACCAGCGGATTGAGAAGGTGCGTTAATCACATGAGAGCTTACTAAAAATCCAACGAAACACCAACAGGGGTGTAGTGTCTGCGTAACATAAACAACAACATTACGAACAACAACAACAAACAATGGAAGATCTTCTACGAAAACAGAATTAACAGAAGACATCCAGAAGGAGTTGGATAGCTTCAAGAAAGATAACCTTGAACGGAGGTATGCCACAGCGAAACGAAGACTGGGGCGCCTAAACGTATTCATTGAGGATTTTCAAGCTAACCACGAAATCTTGGTCCAGTGCGAAGATCAAACCAGTGATTACTTTCTCAACAAACATGAATCGGTGAGAAAACTGTATTCTAGTGCTGTAACAACAATTGAGAAGTATGTGCAGAAAGGATATTTTGAGCAAGGACTATTTCAAGATGTGCCTAAAACGCCCAGCAAGCAAAAACGAACCATAAGCACAGTCACCTATGGCACAAAAGCTGCCCCATTTTTGGCCATGATAACGCTTATACAATTAACAAAACAAAATAATTAACAAAACAAAACAATTAACAAAACAAAACAATTAACAAACAAAACAATTAACAAAACAAAACAATTAACAAAACATATCAATTAACAAAATAAAACAATTAACAAAACAAAACAATTAACAAAATAAAACAATTAACAAAACAAAACAATTAACAAAACAAAACTATTAACAAAACAAATAACAGTAACTGTATTTTTGAAGAGTCTTTGAGAAGGGACTTCATTAAAAAAAACAGATCTTTGGTTGGTGTGACTCCGCCGCTATTCTAGACTAGTTGCACGGAGACGCTGCACGATGGAAGCCGTTCCTGGCGAACAGGGTGCAAAAACAACTGACGTCATGCCAAGCGCGTGTTGGCGTTATGTAAAATCAAACGAAAACCCCGCAGACGCGGCGAGCAAGAGGGTTATATGCATTACAACTTAAGGAACATAAACTGTGGTGGCAGGGGCCATCCTGGCTCTCAACATTCAACAAAGAACAGTTACAAACAGAAACATATACAACAAATCCAGATTTAAGATTTAAGAAATAAGAGATTTAAGAAGAAAACACGTACATGTCACCCAGAAACAAGAAGATCATACGATTAATAATTTGTTACAAAACTATAGTTCATTCAACAAAATAATACGAATTGTCGCTTGGTTATTGAGGACACTTGCACCGAAGCCGCGCGTGCAAAGGCCGAGCTATATCACGTTACATGAACTTGCTGCCGCAAAAATGCTGATCGTGAAGTATGTGCAACACAATTAATTTAAAAAGGGATATTTAACATTTACGTAAATCGGGCACAGTAACAACAAAAAGTAAATTATTAAATTTGAATCCATTTATTGACGAAGCCGGATTGTTGAGAGTTGGTGGTTGGTTAAAAAGATTGCAGTTAAATGTGGAAATAAAACATCCCAAAATCATTCCTCGAAACAGTCGCCTAGCAGAGCTGCTAATCCAAGAAGCCCATAAGCTTTCCTTTCATGGAGGTCCCAAATTGACGTCTGCTAATCTCAAACCACAATACTGGATCGTTGGAGGACTAAACGCAGTGGAAAAACAGTTGAGAAACTGTGTGACGTGTCGCAAGAACAAGCCAGAACTATCCCATCAATTGATGGGTGATTTGCCACCTGCACGAATGGAGCTTGCGCTCCCATTCCTCCATACGGGGGTTAGATTACACCGGTTTCATAGAAGTCAAGGCGAACAAAACAAGAAGTGCGAGATCATCGAAGGGCTACATAGCAGTTTTTATCTGTAGGGTGACAAGTGCACTTGGAGTTAGTGTCCGACCTGTCCATCACCAGATGTCGGGGGTGTGTCTGGTTGTTTGTTAAGAATGTTGAATTGATAACTTTCGAAATAGTAACAAATCACTTTATTTAAAACAGTTACAAAAATGTTAATAAATTGTTGTGAATGCACCCGACACTGTTGCGTAACGAAAGTGCACTAAACAAATTGGCGGCATGGCGCCAATTGCTGACAAAGGTGTTCGGTTTCACCGAACATATTCCCGGGGGATGAAGATAACATAAACAGTAAAATTAAAAATTAAGAAACACATATTATAAAGATTCATCAGTGAACACTAATTTTGGCAACGCAACGCGCGATTTCACATCTCGTTTTCCTGAAATGTTCATGTCCACCTTCTGAATATCCTGTTGTGATGTGGAGATGCTGGTTCTGGATGCGAGAGCCGCGCTGCGCTTCTGTTGTCGGGTCTACATTAGGTTTGTTCCAACTCTGTCGCACCTTACGCTAACTGCTAACACTCCCACCAGAAGTATAAAACCGACTATGCAGTATAGCTTTATGTTGCTTATCCATAATTCCCTCCAACCGTTTCAGATAGTTGTATTCGGATTCCACCACAGATGTCTGATTGATCCACAACGTTTTAAGATGGGCTTGGTCTTGTTTGATAGACTTAATATCACGTGTATATTGTTCGGCGAATCGCTCATCCAATACTCCGAACAATGTATTATTCAGGTAACCGACCCCATTGATAAGGCCGCGTCGTCGCCGTCTGGAGCGCTCGGTAAAATGTTCGGTCAGCAACAGCTGATTATAGTATTGTAACTCCGTATACTCGTGACGTAGCTGTGGAACAATCAGGTTACATTTGTTGTTTGTATCCATAATTATTCATGATTTTTCTAGGTAGTCTAATAATTTCTTGAATGCTTCTGTCCCGTCCCAAAAGGGTTCCATCTCATAGTAGATTACTAGGGTCCATTGATCTCTCAGAAACTGTAGTTTTACCAACGGGTTAAAGTACAATGTGTGTTTTTCATTCAGATGAGTTATGTTGCTTGTTCCATTCACCGTAGACACCAATGTTGTAAAAAATAGTAGAGCCATAACGATGGAGTGTAAACTTGAATGACCTATTGACCACTTGATTTTTGTTTTATTTTCTTGCAACTGTTCGCTGCTATCGCTGTCACTGCTTGCTTTTTGAATTGGTAAAATGCTTAGTTTTACAATAGGCCGTTTTAAGTAACCCTTTTCCGTTTTAAGAGTTACAACTCGAACGTGGCCGTCGCTGCCGGGATGTAACTTGACCACTCTTGCCATAGGCCACTTCCCAGCAGCCAGGTTGTCATCGTGGATTGTTACCAGATCCCCAATTCCTATGTTCCGTTGTGGTCGAAACCATTTGGTTTTTACAGTTAGTTCTAACAAGTACTCTGACCTCCACTTCTTCCACATTTGTTGGAATATTTCAGTTGTTAGACGCCATTTGGTTCTAGCGTCTTCGGTAGTTTGAGTAGTCAGATGTCGGGGGTGTGTCTGGTTGTTTGTTAAGAATGTTGAATTGATAACTTTCGAAATAGTAAAAAATCACTTTATTTAAAACAGTTACAAAAATGTTAATAAATTGTTGTGAATGCACCCGACACTGTTGCGTAACGAAAGTGCACTAAACAAATTGGCGGCATGGCGCCAATTGCTGACAAAGGTGTTCGGTTTCACCGAACAGGTTTGAAGTGAATTTGATGCGTATAAGGGATGTGATTTTTTGTATTAAATGTATGGTCATGTGAACTACTAGTGCAAACGATGTAACAAGTGCTTCGTTGGTGATATAAATTTTATATCCCCTTAGAAGCTTTGAGATATTAACTTCATTGACTGGACGCAGGGTTAAGCTGTCTTCAAAGAAGTTCACAATGTGACGCATCAACATAATTATTGTGAAGAATTTTGAAACTAAATACGAATCAGACGAGGCTGTATGGTATATAAGACCTTTGCATGCCTTAATTGGCAAATTTTAAAAACAACAATCAGCTCATTGACTGACATTCATTAGTTTTAGCGGGAGCTTGACCCTTGCGGGTTGTTACTCCCCTTTTATTGTTAAAATACTGGTTTGAATTGGATTTCGATACATAATAGTGATGCTATTTTGTGTATTGCGTCTGTGCATGAATTATTACTGGAAACGACAAAACAAGTGTTCTGATGTTGATATATAAATCAAGTCATTTTGTCCCTTAAAGGGGCTTTAATACGTTGGAATACTGTCATGTAATCGGCTGCCTCCTGGTTGAAGTAGTCATCGAAATCTCCTATAAATTCCACCATGTGATGCATCAAGATATTGTATGTGTAGTTTTTGAACAAATTTAAAAAAGTAAAGGATAACAAATTATAAAGGTTAATTTCCTTTTATTTAATACTGGCGAAAGTACAACAGTACGAGTTTCTATAACTAAAGAAAAAAAAAACAAGTGCTACAGTAAAAATATAGCTAAAGGCTTCACGTTGGCCAACATAGTGGCGAATGTGTTGGCAAAGATATTAGCCAAGAGTTTGTGATGGCGTCCACACGTTGGAAGGTTGGAAGGTTTGCTTCGGTTCAGGCCAATGTGCGGACGAATTTATTAAAATTAATATTGAGGCGCTGATGGCTGCTACGGTTTATTTATTCACAGCATACCGCTATTACGTGAATGTGTATAAGAAAAGGGTGATCAAAAAGAAAGGGAAAAATGAAATTTTATTTCTTCTGTTCCACAATCAATTTTCGGCTTGGTAGAGCTGTATAAACCGAAAAGTTTCTTCATTGGCCATTTTGTAGGTACTAGTTACGGTGTGTGAATATAAAATTTAAATCAGGTGCGTGCAATCACTTTGAGAGCTTGTAGCAAACTAAACATGCGCCCAACGTGTGGCCGGCGGCCAATACTCTGCCAGAACCCTTTGATCTTTTGTAAAAAACCGAAACCACACGGATCTCCCCCCGCCCCCGCCCCCCCCCCCCCCCATCAACATGGTAGCGGAATTACACGCAAAACTACCCCAGGAGGGTACCAGCACCCCTGGAGAATCCCTCGCTGAGCATCCACGACCATGTTATTCCAATCCTGAGCGTGGGTGCTCAGGCTGCCCCGCGTATTCGGGGGTGGGGGGGGGGGGCAAAATTCCGCTCAAAAACATAACTGCTCGGGGCAAACTGAACAACAATACCAAGGCGACCCCTGCCACGCTATCCGTGAATTTCTGCAACATCAGGGGACTTCACTCTAACCTAAACGCCGTCCACTACCATCTCGAGACGGCCTTGCTCTTTCTAACCGAGACGCAGGTTTCCTCTCCGGCTGATATTTCGTATCTCTCCTACCCGGGGTACAAACTGGAGCACTCCTTTGTGCCTCGGGCTGGAGTTTGCGTGTATGTCAGAGAGGACATCTGTTCTCGACGCCTCGGCAGTCTTGAAGGTTCGGACCTGTCCATACTTTGGCTACGCGTAGACAGCGACGACCATCCGCGCGTCTACGGGTGCCTCTATAGGTCCCATAGCGGAAATGCCGAAACAGACCGACTCATCGACCACGTCCAAATGGCTACAGATTCCTTGCTATAACAGGTCCCATCCGCAGAGATCGTGATCCTTGGCGATTTTAACGCCCACCATGCCGAATGGCTCGGTTCACGTTTAACCGATCATGCGGGAAGATCTGTTTATGACTTTGCCTTGGCATATGGTCTGACACAACTGGTTACTTCGCCTACGCGGATTCCAGATGTGGAGGATCATACACCTTCCCTGTTGGACCTTCTGCTGACCTCTCATCCGGACGGATATCAGGTTTCCGTCGATGCCCCTCTCGGCTCTTCGGACCATTGTCTGATCCGGAGTGTGGTGCCACTCACGCTCCCTTCGCGGTTGCGTTCTGCAGGTTGCCGCCGTGTTTGGCATTACAGGTCGGCGGATTGGGATGGAATGCGGTCTTTCTTTGCATCTTACCCATGGGGGCGGGTTTGCTTCTCGATGTGGTGTTCACCACTGATGTGGTGCTACAGGGAATGGAACTATTTATTCCATCATCTGTGGTACCCATCGGAGGCAGATCTCAGCCTTGGTTTGGTCGCTCCTGTAAGACTGCATTACGCAGTAAGCAGGAGTGTTATCAAGCCTGGGCTGCGGCTTCGGCGACTCGGGATGTAAACACCAGCACACTTAAAAAGAAGTATAACTTCGCCTCCAGGTCCTTCAAAAGAGTTATTGCCAAGGCAAAGTCAGAGCACATAGGCAGAATTGGCGAGAAACTAGTTCGCCTTCCTTCGGGACCCGTGCATTCTGGTCTCTCGCCAAGGCTGTCCAAGGGAATTTCTGTAAGCCATCACTACCATCTCTGCACAGGGAGGATGACTCACTGGCCCAAGACGCAAAAGACAAAGCTGACCTTTTAGGCTCCCTTTTTGCGTCCAACTCGACTTGATGACGGGGGGAAAACACCGCCGACCATCCCGCGGTGTGAGTGCTCCATGCCAGATGTGCTGTTCTCACAGCGCTCGATTCGCAAAGCACTTCTCTCCCTGGACATCCAGAAGTCGAGTGGGCCTGACGGAATCCCCCCAATTGTGCTGAGGACGTGTGCTCCGGAGTTGGCACCGGTCCTAAAGCGTCTTTTCCGGTACTCCTACTTCCAAGGCGTAGTCCCGAATTCATGGAAGACAGCTTTTGTCCACCTGATCCCTAAAAAAGGCGACCGCTCAGACCCGTCCAACTATAGGCCTATCGCGATCACCTCCTTGTTCTCCAAAATAATGGAATCCATTATTAACTGCCAGCTCATCCGGTACCTTGAGGATCACCAGCTGATTAGTGACCGCCAATACGGTTTTCGTCGGGGTCGATCAGCTGGTGATCTTCTGGTCTACCTGACCCATAGATGGGCGGAGGCAGTAGAGTCCAAGGGGGAGGCATTGGCCGTTAGTCTGGACATTGCAAAGACCTACGATCGGGTTTGGCACAAAGCACTTCTTTCGAAGCTCCCTTCCTATGGGCTTCGCGAGAAATTGGGCAATTGGATCACCAGCTTCCTTGTAGATCGGAGCATCAAGGTCTTTGTAGACGGTTCATGTTCTGACTACAAGCCTATTAACGCTGGTGTACAAGGCTGTGAGCTATCACCAACGCTGTTTCTTCTGCATATCAATGATATGTTGCTAACTGGTAACATTCATTGCTATGCGGATGACAGCACTGGTGATGCTCTATACACCGGCCGTGCCAATATTTCTCGGGAAAACGTCGCCGAGTACCGGAACAAACTTGTGTCTGAAGTCGAGTCTTTGTTGAACAAAGTCTCGGATTGGGGGCGACTAAATCTAGTCCAGTTTAATCCTCAGAAGACACAAGTTTGCGCGTTTACCGCTAAAAAGAACCCCTTTGTCGTATCTCCTCAGTTTCAAGGCACTCCCCTTCTTGCCTCAGCCAGTATCGGTATCCTCGGAGTCGACATATCGAGTGACGTGCAGTTTCGTGGTCACTTGGAAGACAAGGCCAAATTGGCCTCTAAAAAGCTTGGCGTACTCTGCAGAGCGGGACAGTATTTCATGCCGGCACACCGCCTGCAACTTTACAAGGCGCAGGTTCGGCCTCACATGGAATACTGTTCCCATCTCTGGGCAGGGGCTCCCCAGTGCCAGCTCCTTCCACTTGACCGCATCCAGCGCAGAGCGGCTCGAATCGTCGACGACCGAGCCCTTTCCGATCGGCTCGATTCTTTGGCACTGCGAAGAGATGTTGCATTCCTTTGCATTTTCTTTCGCATCTACCATGGGGAGTGCTCTGAGGAATTGTTCGGATTAATCCCAGCCGCCAAATTTCACGAACGCACATCGCGGCAGAACTCCCGATACCATCCACACCATCTGGATGATTGGCGGTCCACCACTGTGCGATTTAGAAGATGTTTTCTTCCTCGCACGACTTCCTTGTGGAATCGATTACCATCAGCGATTTTTCCGGACCGATACGACTTAGGGACCTTCAAGAAAAGAGCGTACTCCTTTTTAAAAGGCCGGCAACGCATCTGCAATTCCCTCCCTGGTGTTGCAGTTGTTCATGGGCGGCGGTAGTCACTTACCATCAGGTGAGCCGCATGCTCGTTTGCCCCCTATCCTATAAAAAAAAAATCTCGCGCCAACTTGTGGGCCATCATTCCAATACATACCAACGCATTCACATTCGCCAACACATTCGCCACTATGTTGGCCAACGTGAAGAGCTGCCATAAACCAACCAGTAACTGAACTCCATACAAACGCATTACGCACACAGATACGCGCCGCAACAATGTCTATAAGCGAGCGTCACAATGCAATCAATCAAGACTCGAGAAGAGTGGATTGCGATTAACTGTGAAATGGGAACATGTCTCAGCGGGATTTTAAATGAATTAATGTTTTGATCAGGCTCTGCGCGACGCGAAGCGGTGCGTGACCGCGTACTGGCTGTCGGACGCGATGGAGCGGCGCGGAGTGGCGCCGCCGTGGCAGGCGCTGCACCTGCCCGGCATGCACGCGCCGCGCGACCGCCCCGCGCGACACCACCGCGCCGCGCTCTCCGGCTGGCGGCGCGACGAGCGGCGCCGCCTCGCCTGCTGCCTCGACCTCGTCGGCGCCAAGGTACCGCCGCCACGTGGCACCGCGTGGCAGGCGCTGCACCTGCCCGGCATGCACGCGCCGCGCGACCGCCCCGCGCGACACCACCGCGCCGCGCTCTCCGGCTGGCGGCGCGACGAGCGGCGCCGCCTCGCCTGCTGCCTCGACCTCGTCGGCGCCAAGGTACCGCCGCCACGTGGCACCGCGTGGCAGGCGCTGCACCTGCCCGGCATGCACGCGCCGCGCGACCGCCCCGCGCGACACCACCGCGCCGCGCTCTCCGGCTGGCGGCGCGACGAGCGGCGCCGCCTCGCCTGCTGCCTCGACCTCGTCGGCGCCAAGGTACCGCCGCCACGTGGCACCGCGTGGCAGGCGCTGCACCTGCCCGGCATGCACGCGCCGCGCGACCGCCCCGCGCGACACCACCGCGCCGCGCTCTCCGGCTGGCGGCGCGACGAGCGGCGCCGCCTCGCCTGCTGCCTCGACCTCGTCGGCGCCAAGGTACCGCCGCCACGTGGCACCGCGTGGCAGGCGCTGCACCTGCCCGGCATGCACGCGCCGCGCGACCGCCCCGCGCGACACCACCGCGCCGCGCTCTCCGGCTGGCGGCGCGACGAGCGGCGCCGCCTCGCCTGCTGCCTCGACCTCGTCGGCGCCAAGGTACCGCCGCCACGTGGCACCGCGTGGCAGGCGCTGCACCTGCCCGGCATGCACGCGCCGCGCGACCGCCCCGCGCGACACCACCGCGCCGCGCTCTCCGGCTGGCGGCGCGACGAGCGGCGCCGCCTCGCCTGCTGCCTCGACCTCGTCGGCGCCAAGGTACCGCCGCCACGTGGCACCGCGTGGCAGGCGCTGCACCTGCCCGGCATGCACGCGCCGCGCGACCGCCCCGCGCGACACCACCGCGCCGCGCTCTCCGGCTGGCGGCGCGACGAGCGGCGCCGCCTCGCCTGCTGCCTCGACCTCGTCGGCGCCAAGGTACCGCCGCCACGTGGCACCGCGTGGCAGGCGCTGCACCTGCCCGGCATGCACGCGCCGCGCGACCGCCCCGCGCGACACCACCGCGCCGCGCTCTCCGGCTGGCGGCGCGACGAGCGGCGCCGCCTCGCCTGCTGCCTCGACCTCGTCGGCGCCAAGGTACCGCCGCCACGTGGCACCGCGTGGCAGGCGCTGCACCTGCCCGGCATGCACGCGCCGCGCGACCGCCCCGCGCGACACCACCGCGCCGCGCTCTCCGGCTGGCGGCGCGACGAGCGGCGCCGCCTCGCCTGCTGCCTCGACCTCGTCGGCGCCAAGGTACCGCCGCCACGTGGCACCCCGTGGCAGGCGCTGCAGCTGCCCGGCATGCACGCGCCGCGCGACCGCCCCGCGCGACACCACCGCGCCGCGCTCTCCGGCTGGCGGCGCGACGAGCGGCGCCGCCTCACCTGCTGCCTCGACCTCGTCGGCGCCAAGGTACCGCCGCCACGTGGCACCGCGTGGCAGGCGCTGCACCTGCCCGGCATGCACGCGCCGCGCGACCGCCCCGCGCGACACCACCGCGCCGCGCTCTCCGGCTGGCGGCGCGACGAGCGGCGCCGCCTCGCCTGCTGCCTCGACCTCGTCGGCGCCAAGGTACCGCCGCCACGTGGCACCGCGTGGCACCGCGTGGCAGGCGCTGCACCTGCCCGGCATGCACGCGCCGCGCGACCGCCCCGCGCGACACCATCGCGCCGCGCTCTCCGGCTGGCGGCGCGACGAGCGGCGCCGCCTCGCCTGCTGCCTCGACCTCGTCGGCGCCAAGGTACCGCCGCCACGTGGCACCGCGTGGCAGGCGCTGCACCTGCCCGGCATGCACGCGCCGCGCGACCGCCCCGCGCGACACCACCGCGCCGCGCTCTCCGGCTGGCGGCGCGACGAGCGGCGCCGCCTCGCCTGCTGCCTCGACCTCGTCGGCGCCAAGGTACCGCCGCCACGTGGCACCGCGTGGCACCGCGTGGCAGGCGCTGCACCTGCCCGGCATGCACGCGCCGCGCGACCGCCCCGCGCGACACCATCGCGCCGCGCTCTCCGGCTGGCGGCGCGACGAGCGGCGCCGCCTCGCCTGCTGCCTCGACCTCGTCGGCGCCAAGGTACCGCCGCCACGTGGCACCGCGTGGCAGGCGCTGCACCTGCCCGGCATGCACGCGCCGCGCGACCGCCCCGCGCGACACCACCGCGCCGCGCTCTCCGGCTGGCGGCGCGACGAGCGGCGCCGCCTCGCCTGCTGCCTCGACCTCGTCGGCGCCAAGGTACCGCCGCCACGTGGCACCCCGTGGCAGGCGCTGCAGCTGCCCGGCATGCACGCGCCGCGCGACCGCCCCGCGCGACACCACCGCGCCGCGCTCTCCGGCTGGCGGCGCGACGAGCGGCGCCGCCTCACCTGCTGCCTCGACCTCGTCGGCGCCAAGGTACCGCCGCCACGTGGCACCGCGTGGCAGGCGCTGCACCTGCCCGGCATGCACGCGCCGCGCGACCGCCCCGCGCGACACCATCGCGCCGCGCTCTCCGGCTGGCGGCGCGACGAGCGGCGCCGCCTCGCCTGCTGCCTCGACCTCGTCGGCGCCAAGGTACCGCCGCCACGTGGCACCGCGTGGCAGGCGCTGCACCTGCCCGGCATGCACGCGCCGCGCGACCGCCCCGCGCGACACCACCGCGCCGCGCTCTCCGGCTGGCGGCGCGACGAGCGGCGCCGCCTCGCCTGCTGCCTCGACCTCGTCGGCGCCAAGGTACCGCCGCCACGTGGCACCGCGTGGCAGGCGCTGCACCTGCCCGGCATGCACGCGCCGCGCGACCGCCCCGCGCGACACCACCGCGCCGCGCTCTCCGGCTGGCGGCGCGACGAGCGGCGCCGCCTCGCCTGCTGCCTCGACCTCGTCGGCGCCAAGGTACCGCCGCCACGTGGCACCCCGTGGCAGGCGCTGCAGCTGCCCGGCATGCACGCGCCGCGCGACCGCCCCGCGCGACACCACCGCGCCGCGCTCTCCGGCTGGCGGCGCGACGAGCGGCGCCGCCTCGCCTGCTGCCTCGACCTCGTCGGCGCCAAGGTACCGCCGCCACGTGGCACCCCGTGGCAGGCGCTGCACCTGCCCGGCATGCACGCGCCGCGCGACCGCCCCGCGCGACACCACCGCGCCGCGCTCTCCGGTTGGCGGCGCGACGTGGCACCACGTGGCAGGCGCTGCACTCTCCTAGCAACGCAGACCTACATGCGCAAACCCTCATTTCAATCGCTTAAACGCTAACTACTGCTTGCCTGTAACCGGGTAACTACTGCAAGCGCCATTAGAGCGTCCACGGACCGACCCTATATCTTGTCGGCGCCACGAGACTTATTGTTGTTAGTAATCTTGAAATTTTGCTGTTGAGCTGTTCATAAAATATTCAATACTTTATGATAGATTTTTAATTGGAGACAGAATGATTGTAGAAACTTTCAATCGAAATGTTCCAAAAGAAATCATCGCCCGTTTAAAATTTGGCCTGTTAAGGTGTCGAAAATAGAATAAATTTACCCAGCTATAGGATAAAAAAGGTATCCTTTATCCTATTCCATACCATCTCACGTTCTTGATCATTTTAATAAAACTTATTCAATATGTTGCAGTTGACGCCGTACATGTCGCGCGACAACACAGTTCTGGTGTGCAAACGTGCTGAGGGTGCCAAGTATCGGCGCGCTCGCGAGTGGGGCGTGCCCGTCGTAAGCGCCGCCTGGGTCACTGACCTGTTGCTCGGCAACATGAGCGCGCTGTCGCAGGTACGTGCGTGCCAGTGGCTGTTTGTGTGTGTGTATTTTCAGTCGCGTGCCCGTCGTGGGTCAATGTCGCAGGTACGTGCGTGACAGTATGTGTGTTTGTGTGTGCGTGTGTGTGTCGCGAATGCAGCGTGGCCCTGAGCGCTGCCTGGATCCCTGACCTCGAAAAACCCTGTCCGATGGGTACTTTTATGCATCTTGATATGATTTAGTTCATGTGTTTTTCACATATGTATAAATTTTTTTTGGTAATATCATTGCGGTATTTATGTCCTTTTCTGATCGGACAGGACTTTTTCATACACATGTATGTTTATTACCTTTTTTATTACTAATAGATCAATATATAATGCTGATTTAATCCACAGATTGAAAACGCCAAGTATCAGCAGTTTAATTTGGCGAGTCCGTTCCGAATTGACTACAGCCTAGTTTCACATTTAATGAGTAAGTATCATTAAAGAACCTGTATTAAAATTTTTAAAAAAATCTGCTCTATAATCTTTTAAGAAATGAAAGGAGGCCCTGGCCTATTCCCAGCTATGGGACGTGTAACACAGATCTCTTTAACCTTAGTAACATTAAAGTGACAGCATGATATGCTTCGACTTTTTTATTTAGAAAAGATTATTTTGACTGCACGTTCATTCGTTCATTACAGCTTATCAAAAGTACTGCTGAATATAAGCCACACTCATAAGGGATGAGTGTAAGTGTGAGTGTCCTGCGAGTATCGTAAGAGGCGATCCCTCTGTTGCCTCATACGATACTTGCGGGATGATAATATGAGGTAGTGTACGTTAAACATCGATATACTATCGATAGTAAATGGCTATCGATACTATCGATAGTTTAACTATCGATCGATTGTTTACTTGAGTACTACTTTTACATCCCTAGAGTCGAGGTAGGTTATTCCCCGGCCATAATGACAAAGGCGTAGGCATTGAGATTCTTCTCTATGGTAGGGGAATTACCGTGCGTATGTCGTTCATTTACAAGACAAAATTCAGTCAGTCATTTTTTGTGGATGTTCGAAGTTGAGTGGAGTAACAAACAATTTAGAATTAAACAATAAAACATGAGTCGCGTGCGTAGGATTACTTCAAAAAGACTAATGAAAAGTTTATGTACACGCCCTAAGCTGTCCCGACAAAGGTCGACTATACAGGGGCCCATACAGCTGTAGACTCGACGAATAACTAAGGACGGGGCCCAATTGGCCTTATGGAGAGTTGACCTACACGACAGGGATAAAACTAGGCAAATAAATAGTACGTACCTGTTTAGAGGCGAAGAAGGACCACAAGGCTCGTTCAGGCGTTAAGTAGGTGCATGTAAATAGTGTGTGAGAAGTGTATATATGTTTAACCTGAATTAGCCCTTTTTAATCAGCAGCAACCCTGACTCCTGCACCGCCACCCTATGTGGTATCACTCCAGCGGCGTCACTCGGTGTCGCTCAGAGTCTAGCGTCCATTAGCACAAATCTATAATCTAATACGAACGCTGGTTGTCGCGGGTCACAAAGTTTAGCTGTTTTAACCGACACAGGAAAATATCTCCGAGTTGAATCCAATGGCACAAAGCAACTCGTTAACGCGAATAAATATTGTCAGAATGCACTTAAGCATGCAACCACTATACCACTTGACGTTCAAAACTCAACTAAATGCATGCATGCAGGCATGACTGCGGTGGTCAAAGTTCACTTCCGTTCACTTAGCCACAAATTATTTCGCGAATCGAACGCGACCTTCTAAGGCAGTGATCACGCGGCCCGAGTAGACTCACTGCAATACTTAGACCACCGAATCCGAGACGGTCTTCACGAAACACAATTTAAGTAGCGAAGTAACGCGCACAAATACTGAAAATCTAGACCTGGTAAAACCAAAACTGGTCTCACGAAATCGCTGCCACGGTCACCACAAAAATTACGTTGCGACGGCGTCGCTGCACTAAAGCTACTGTTTTCAGCCCGTGCGTTAAGCGACTGCCAGCGGCACGCGGCCGCCCCCTTCCCCTTCGGCTTCGTTTACCTCACCTCACACCATCGGGTGAGACACTAAGTCGTACGTGATTGGATGCCTCTTCAAATGCCTATATTTGGGCCTAAACAGTTTGCCAAGTGTTCTTTGTGTAAAAGAGAGTTTAAACTACGTGGAAATACTACGAACTTGATCGATCATATGAAAAGAAAACATAATGAGGTATGGATATGGTCATCCACTGTTTCTGTTACTTAAGACGTAAATACCACTGAGCACAATGGATGATGATTTGGATAACAAATACGTGTGCATGATTGCTGTTGACATGGAACCTTTGCGAAAGGGAGAACATGAAGTATTTCGGGATTTTGTAAATGCTTTCAATAGTAGATATGAAATTCCTGATACAACAACATGGAAGAAGAAATTACTGCTGGAATATTATGAAAACGTGAAATAGAAGCATTATCGAAAGCAGAACATGTTAGTGTGACTACTGATTTATGGACATCAATTCATCATACGATTCGTTTGCTGTGACATGCTTAGACCAGATTCTGAAAAAATGTAAATCGATTGTGACATTTTTCAAGATGAGTTCTCTAGATAGCGATAAATTACGGGCTATCCAACGTGAATTAAATAAAGCAGAATTGAAAGTGATCCAGGAAGTACCCACCCGCTGGAACAGAGCATACCACATGCTGCAAAGACTTGTTACAATGAAGACAGAATCAACTCTCGCACTTAATGAATGTAATCGGGCTTCACCAGGAGTCAATGCTGACGGATACCTGATTGTTCAAGAAACAATTCAGATTCTGGAACCGTTCCATCTAGCTACGACAAAAATTTCCGGAGAAAGCTATATAACATTGTCACTGATAATACCATTGATTCGTGGACTAAAAACGAAATTAGTAGAAGTTGAATCTCGAATTGTTACTGAAAGCGAAAAGAAAATATTACTCTGCGTGAAGGGATCAGTTGACAAAAGACTAAGTCCCTATGAAAACAAGACACCTGTTGTACTTACTACAATATTGGACCCCCGATTTAAGAAGAAGGGGTTCAAAACAAGTGGCGACGAGAAGCGAGCTGGTCAGTGGCTGGATAAGGCCTATGCTAGCCATTTAACTAAAGAACGCTTGGCTGTAGAAGAAACGCAACCAACACCATCCACGTCGTCACAGGAACATCTAAACCTGTTGGGATTCCTAGACGTTTCGGACGACCCCTTTGAGTAATTTGGTAGATGTCAGGCAATAACTCGAGAAGCCAGTAATTGACAGAAAGGAGTGTCCTATAACATACTGGAAATATACCAACAATAAATTGAAGGAATTAGTCATGCGTTATCTCTGTATTCCAGTATTCTTCTGTACTTTCGGAACGGATATTTTCGAAAGCCGGACAAATTTTAATCGAACGCAGAAATAGGTAAAAAGGAAAAAGATTAAACGAATTGTTGTTTATAAAACAAAATAGCTGCTATTTTAATAATTGATTTGTAACTATAATAATCATGAATGCTGATTTTTGATTGTTATTTCGAATATATATCAAAATAAAACTACCTTTTGTATAACATTTGTTATTTTATTGATGTTACGCTAATCCTACAATTTTTTAAACTATCGGTAGATTATCGATACTATCAATAGTTATAGTATAACTATCGATACTATCGGATTACCAAACTATCTATGTTTAACGTACAGTAATATGAGGTAGTGAATTCTCTTACAATCGCCCCAACATAAAATGAAAACTAGTCCAACAGTAATGATTGTCACCGATACACCGTTAAAGCCTATTTAAGTCCACTGCTGAACATATAGGCCTCACCCTAGATTGCCTCATAAGAGGGATATTTGCCATAAATGCCGCTTGGCAAGCGGGTTGGAAACCGCAGTTATGTTTTGTTCCGCATGAGGAAGACGGTGCCGATCTTCTGATGATTATCAAGTACATTCTAATTACAGACGCGTGGAAAATGCCGATCAACATAACGCAGGAGTCGCACGAGCGGGCGAAGCGCAGCGCGGCGGCGGCCGGCGGCGCCCGGCGCGCCAAGCGGCCGCGCCTCGAGCCCCCCGACACCGCGGGCCCGGGCGCAGCGGGGACCCCCGGGCCGCCCGCGGCGCCCGGGCCCCCCGCGCCGGCCGCCGCGCACCCCCCGCTGCACCTGGCGCCGCGCGTGCTGTTCTCGGGCGTGCCCGCGCACGAGCAGTCGCGCCTCGCCGCCGTCGTTAGGTGCGCGCACACCGCCACACACAACATCAAACGTTTTGTCCAACAAACATTCAAACACATTTCAAGGGAAGCCGAAATCTTATGCACACATACGGAGGGGCGTTCAATGTATTCTCGATATTTGGGTGATTTTCTAATAATGTGGTTAATTAAAAAAATCACTAGCTAACGACAATCTTAATTGTCATGCTTGAAATACAAGATGTTTAACATCTTTGATACCCATCGCGCGTCTGAATAAGTCTTTCTTATTATCTTTCTGGGATTTCCTATAACCTTTTCTTATGACACAAACGGGAAGAAATCGTGCAATGAATTTTACTACATCGCCATTAACCGTAAGCAAGTAAGGTTTGCGTAAGCAATAGGCAATAATCCACTTTCTTAACATATATATAATTGACTTGTTCGCAGGCAACTTGGCGGGCTCGTCGTTACGTCTGCGGCAGAAGCAACGCACTTAATAATGGATAAACTCGTGCGTACGTGTAAACTGGTCAGTTGCCTTATCACAGTGAAACACCTCCTCTCACCCGAGTGGATATTGGAAAGTCAGCGACTAAATAAGTTTGCCGACGAAGCCAAATACGGTCTCCGCGATGAAGCATTTAACAAGATGTTTAAATGTGACGTGTCCGAAGTATTACTGTGCGGGGAACAAAGAAAGAAATTGTTTGAAGGTGTGACTTTCTTCCTGACACCTTGTGTGAAACCCGGTAGGGCCGCTTTGACAGAAATGATCGAACTTTGTGGCGGTAAAGTTGAAAGGAGCCGTCGCTCATACGTCTCTATACAAGAAATGCACAATCAGAAGCCCTACAGTTACTTGGTGTTGACTGTCCCCAATGATTTGCATCTTGTGTATTATTTACTACAATCAGAAAAGACTTTGAATGTTGTTTGCAGTACAGAAGTGGTGCTATCTGCAATAATGCGACAGAAACTGGAGGTTGAAGAATTTCTTGTAAAAATTGACTAAATTCTATTTTACTTTAAAATATTCTTTCGTCCTTCATTTTTTTATAATTTCTTAACTGCGAATGAAATTACCGATGATAATTGTTTATATTTACAGATTCTATGTGATAAATTTATCTTCAATTATAAGTGTTCAGATTTATCATAAATTACACAAATAAGACACCATTTTAACGAATTTCTTCGAGTTTCGGTGGTATATTTCAAATCCAAATCTACTCTCGAAACTATCAGATTTGTGTGTTCAAGTGTAGTATATTAATATTAAGATAAATTTCTCTAAAGGATGTGTCCCATGCAACGTTGCAACCTAACCCATTGGCTGTCCTGTGTACTACATATAATTCATTGCTATTGTCTTTTCGTTTGCTGTAGTTTCTACTTTAATTACTTCCGTACTTTTAAGTACACTAAATTACTATTTTATCTTAAATAATTCTTTGTGCATTTTTGATGTTAATTTGTTCCTAATTAATATAATTTTACTTGATAATTATTTCATTCTGTTATGATTATGCAATGTTTAAAAAATTCTATAGAGGTTCTTGTAAGTGAATTATTTTATTTTGTATTAACCATATAATAATTTTTAAGTGTTATAAACTGAAAATTCACTAAATATTATTATATGAATGTTTATGTAATAAGAATAATTTTGGAAAGATTTTATGATTTAATATTTTAAGACAGAGCTAAAAAATACAATGTGGTCCAAACCATGATTTTGTAAATAAGTAAAAATTTAAATATATAAATGTTTATGATACATAGTTTTTCATTTTATATAGAAATATATATATTTTTACATAATATAGTAACGCTGACAAATTGGAATTTCACAAAGTAGTATTACCATTAAAAGTAAGATTTAAATAAGATTTTGCAGCAAATAGTTCGGAAAGCATCAATGTTTTTTTCAATTCACATTTGAGATTTTGTATCTATGTTCCTTGCTGCGATTATAATAATTATGCTCTTTGTTATGGTCATGTTAGAGATTTTCTTATTTTCCATCAGTATGTAGGGTGTATATTGGTTTCAACAATAATCAAACATCATACGGCAAAACTTTGCCTCTAATGTCTTGCTTAAATAGAAACATTGTTTCGTCTAGTATCTTCTCACGAAAAGCGAGCAGATGTTGAATGCAGCTACTAGCTACTAGAAATGTATGAATAAGATGTATACTGGCACAGTTAACCAACCAGTAAATATACCAGTTACTGTGTTGCCGTCCTCCTAAATAGGGATAACTTCTTTTCAGCAGTATTATTTATATTAATATTTTTGACTGCTGTGTTCTGTGTGTATATTATATTACATATTTATGTCCGTTTCAACCACCTACGATTTTTTTTTCTACGATTCTAAAATTAGTTATGATTTTTAAAAAATATATCACAATCGATTTGTTATAATTGCGCGGAAAACAGCCTATAACGATTTCAAAAACTTGAGACAAAATTATGTCGGCGATGTATTATAATTTTTTTAAATATATAACTGACAATCATAATTGCAGTCTGTTCCTGTTTTTTTTTTTAACAATAATTTAAAAAGCTAGATTTACTTGCTAAAAAACCGTTATTTTAAAGTACGTGCATCAATCACCATAATTAGGAGGAAAGTAGTGTGTGAATACGTTGAAAAGATAGACATTCAGATAACATATTTATTTTTTTAATTCTTACACAGCGTGAGCGAAAAGTCCTCGAAAAAGGAAAAGATAACGAACATACCTCTAATAAACATTCATACTCTAATGGAATTTACAGTCATAGTCTTTATGATTACTTACATAATACTTTTATATATCGATATTCTTACAGCAACATATACATACAACAATATAAATTATCTGAGAGATTACGATTTTATTATTGCTTCGTAAGCTTGGAATATGCAAGTAGCTACTTCTACGGTACGCGACTTAAGGCTTAATGTTGCTTCGGGATTACCCGGCTGCAGTTTCAGTTCTAAAAGAACCCAAATGTTGTTGATGAGCTTCAGGGACTGGTATAACATGTCTTGTCCTTCCACGTTCCTCTTGGCGATTGTAAAGATATTATTTAGCGTCATCTTCTGTGCGATTGAATCAGCCGTACCCACGACATTAGAAAGTGTGTGCTGCACTTCGTTGGCTGCCGGAATTTCCTTCCATGTCGTAAGGAATACTCGTTTGTCAAGTTGTCCGTCCTCTGTGAAGAGCACGTGTGCGGGGATCAGGCAGGCAAAGTAGAACACGTCCACGTTATTTTTGATTGCCACCTGGAATTATAAGTTAAGGACGTGTAACTATATAAACAATTTATGTTTTGTAACGATAATGGACTATGTGAGTGCATTAGCGTTACTAAACTTAAATTGTTGATTTATTGTGTCTTCAATTAAATTCGAACTTTTATTATTATGATTAATTTCGGTCACGGCGGCCTATCAGAACGGAGAATAGCCATCTGCGTAATATAGAATTATAGTGCACGACTGTGTGCGCAAACACAGGTGCACTCTATTCTCTCAGTCCCCTAGGTCGAGAATCCGACTTGAGTGGAGAGATCGAGCGCAGGACCAACGGTTGTTAAACGTGCTTTCCGAAGCGCGGGAGTGAACTAACGCCAACTTCCTGACTTCGGGCTGATACTGAAGATTTCTTGACAGGTAAAATCCAATTAGTTTTCGATTTTGGCCCGACCTGGGTTCGAACCTGGAACGACATGATCAGAAGCAGTCGCGCCGCGGCACACTACCACTAAATCAAGCAGATCATCTTTCATTATTAGAAACAGTATTGAAGTTTAGTATGCTTAGTATGTGTACGTGTGTGTTCGTGCACCTGCAGGTTGTTGAGCGGCTCCATGCGCTGCACGGGCCCGGCGGCGGCCAGCGGCAGCGCGGCGTCCGCGCGCCCGCCCGCCGGCACCACGCCCACGGCCAGAGCTCCGCCCGGATACACGCCGAAACTGATAACCGAAGCGTTCCATCAATTGGAAATCCATTCATTCATTTATTACAGCCTATCACCAGCAATATATTTGTAAGTGTTTGTGAAAAAGAATATAAACGTATCGCTCGAAGAGTCAAATATGATTGATTGTAGTAGGTTATTTGTGAGGGTGGGCCATGAAACTGGCATAATGACGAGGGCGACACTGAAAGTTTTTAGAACTGGCCACGTGTAAACGATATAATAAAAAAAAGAGTTCAAATTTACCCCCAATATTATTGCGTATGTATTTTATTAATTTGTCATTTATTTACGATTTGGCGGTAAACTGAAAATTGTGTGTCACATCAGCATGAATTTAACGCGAGAAAATTTTCGTACAATTATTTTTTTATGACTTTCGATGTCATTTAAGTCAACAAGAAAGTTATGATAGACTTCGATTGGCCTTTCACGTTGAAGCCCCATCTCGTGCCCCTGTTTACAACTGATTTAATGACTAAACGTGGTCGCACTTATCTCACCGATGATCTGCGTGAGGGACGGCCTTCTATGGCGACGACTGAAGATAACATCAGTGTTGTGCGGCGTATGATAGAGACTAACAAAAGAGTGACTTATTAGCAGATTCGGACAAGCCATTTAGCGGTCAGGAAGTTTTGTACCCGGTAGATACCTCATAATTTGACAGAGGCCCAAAAATTCGTCCACCAATTTAGTTCAAAGGTTTAACGGAGGTGACTCAAATGCTGTGTTTATTGTTATGATCCTGGTGACGAAAGCTGGATTTATTGTTATCCTGAAACTAAAAGACAGTCTGCTATCTGGGTGTTTCCTTCCGAGGAGTTGCCAACTAAGGTGAAGAGAGGTCGAAGTGTGAGAAAAAAATGGTGGCCTCGTTCTTCGAAAGGACAGGTCATTACGCAACAATTGTTTTAAAAGATCGAAAAACAGTTACTGCAGAGTGGTACACTAACAATTGTATGCCACTTGTTTTGGAAAAGGTTCGTGAGAAACGACTACGCAGTAGGATCCTCCTTCACCACGACAACGCCACGACGTGGAATTACTGGGTTACCCACCCGCCCTATAGCCCCGACTTCGCACCTTGCGATTTTTATTTATTTCCGAAAATAAAAGAAAAACTTCGAAGAAAACGTGTTATGGACGCCGAGAAAGCAGTGGCTGCGTTTCAAAATGCCGTCGAAGAGACCTAAGGACGAGTGGGAAAAGTGCTTTTATCAGTGGTTCCATCGGATGCAGGGATGTATTGATGTAAATGGACACTATTTTGAAAAGATGTAATAAAACTAATAAACTTGCTAGTTTGTTCAGTTGTTCAGTATCACAACTCTAGGTCTAAAATATTAGAAAAATTAATTAACAATAAATTAATGAATTATTTAAAAGGTAAATCCATATAATAGAATACGCAATATGGTTTCAGATCAAAACTGTCCACTGCTGATGCTGTGCAGGAAATGACCGATTACGTCTTTCAAGAATAAGATAAAGACAACCAATTGATCAGCATTTTCCTCGATTTACCAAAAGCTTTCGATACAAGTTCTATTCCCATCTTATTAAATAAATTTGAGAGCGCAGATATTCTAGCTAAACAGGTTTAACTTTTTGGGAACTCAAAATCGAGGTCAATGTTTAAAAATCGATAATGTTATTAATTCTTAACAAAAAATACACATTTTGTGGTGCCTCTAGGCAATCAAAGATTTTTGCAATCTCGAACTCGGGTAAAAAAATGTCTTATGCATATGGCACCATGGTCTTTTTTGCCCGCATATACAGAAGACAAGGTTTATTTATGTCACAGCAAGATTTTGATAGGGTTAGGTTCCAAAAAATATATTCACACTGAATGCGGACAAAACAAAATATATTTTTTATTGGAGAAATGTATGCACTTCATGTTGCTAATTTTGCAGTGTAGTGTAGATTTCACTATGTAACAACGTGTGACAATTTGCGGGGTGAAGGGGTGTTAAGCCCCGCCCACTTAACTATTCCATCTACCGATAAATAGTAAAAGTACTCGCATCGTTCCATATCGATGTTGCAATGTACCTTTATATTTTTAGTTCCCATGACACAAAGTGCCGCCATTTAGTCTTGAATACATTTAATTATATTTGAAAGCCGACGCAAGGATTTTTCTAGACCTATTTTAATAAATTTGGTATAAAATTACTTACAAATAAAATATTATGATGCATCAGAGCGTCTATCTGAGTAGTTTTTACAAGATAAAATACAACACTTGATTCTTTTCTTCTTAATACTACGAAAATACACCGATTTGCGATTTTCGACACAAAGGACGAACGCTGACAGTATACTAAGGCCACGCCCACTGTGATGACGTCAGGACCTAGTTAGAATCACAGTGCACAGTTGCTTAGACCGTCTGCTCTTTAAATTTGCTCCGTGATTTCCCTCATAGACCCATGTCATAGTTGCCACGCTTGGTAGGCTGTTTGACATCCGAAGTTTTTAATTTTTTAATTGTTATTAGAAAGACGCTGCTGCACATCCACTGGATTGGTCATCAATTGAACAGAGTTATGCAAAAAGGACCCAACGTAGGAAAAATTTGCATTGAGATATTTAAGATATTTTTAAGTTTGGTTTCAGTGATAATGATTTGCTTCGTTTTATATATATAATATAATTTTAAATTTTTTTTGGCTGTCTACTGTCGCTATTATTTTAAGGTACAAAAGTATAGAATAACGGTAAGAGGTATAAAAGTATTTTGATGCATGTATATGTGTGGTGAATATTTTTTGCATAACTACAGTTGATTACCATCATGACACCCTGAGCAGTTTTGACTTTTGCAACTACATATTCTATTATATTTAAAAGAAAAAACACAATTTAAAAACAATAAGATGCACTGTACGGTTATGTTTACCTATTTTTGTTAAGTTGTATGGCGAATCCACTCATAGCCTGCATAGCTTTGTTGGTGAACGTCATTTCCATACGCGGCTGTCCGTTCTGGCGGCTGAATGTGCCCCAGATCTCCAGACCTAAACAAGACATTATCAATACTCTACTCATAAAAATCGACTAGGTTGTAAGAATGTGCTTAAAATTGCTCTCTCTCTCTCTCTCTACTAAGTCATAATAGAAAGAGACAGGTACAGAGATAATTAATACTTAATTAAAGTATAAGGCCGTAAATTTTTAAATTATTATTTCTTTGTAATTTTAATAATTTCACCGAGGAATCTTGTCTTAAACTTTATAGAGCATAACAATACAATGACAATAACCAGTCTCACCAATGCGGAATTTATTAATTTCGGTTCTAAGTACGGTACTATGTGACTTGTAATGGTTTTGACATGAATACGTCTTTAAAGCTGCCATAGTGGGAGGCAATTCATAAAACTGATGATAACAAAGTCCGGGGGATACAGTTTAGTGTTGCAGCTACATATCTATCATCTACATTAAAAATTTTACTTAACCACACGATAGCTAAAGGGTCAAAGTATTTAGTTGTACTGTGGCAAGGCCCGAGCGGCGGATAAGGGAGCGCCGCCAATTTGACGTCATTTCGTAACGTTCACGTATTCACAAAAAACACACGGCCGTGTACACGACACATCCACCTCACGATTTTCTGTAAGAGAAATTCTGAGAAAAATAGTCTACTTGTGAATTTCTTGCCGCTTCTTCTCACAAGGTCTTCTCACACTAGGGACTTGTTGAAGCAATGGCCTGGCATTTTACTTTCTACAAGTTCTTTGTAAGATCAAATTTTGAATTGATACATTTGACTTTCCTTTTAATCAACAAAACTCAAATTTGATGAAGTATCCATCACTGGACTTAACAGGCTGAAGGTCTTAGACTACTACTAATTGCACTAGTGTATTCAACTAGGAAAGGAATATAGTTCTAAGCTACGCAAAGTACAAATCATCGTAAGTACCTTTGCCCTTGTCAGCGGGAAGCCAACACTGCTTGGGTGGCACGAAGGAAGCCGGTGTTGCCGCAACGCCAAATATATCTCCCAAAAGTCCCGTAGTAGTCGCAGTAGCACTTGGCTCTGGACCAGTCCCCAACTGGTGCAAACAAATATTTGAGAATGTACAGTGGTGTGAAACAGATTTTCTTTTCATTCACATCTAACAAACAAAATCATTACCATTTATACTAAGCATTCCAATTTTAAAGTAGCAATAATTTATTAATTATTTATGGCAATACTCACGAGCACGTCGAGTCCGCCGGCCAGCAGGTCGAGGTTGGAGGCGGGCGCGGCGGCCGGCGGCGGACCCGAGATGTCCATCGACAGCAGGTCGCCGATCAACGACTCCTGCAAAATGGAATTTATCACAGTAACATACGGATTGTAATTGCTTAGCGAAAGTTTAATATGACTTTCTTTAATTTTGTAATGTGATTTTTTTTTTATAGAATAAGGTTAAGGTTTTGTAGGATAAGCACGAGAGGGTCGGCTCGACTAGAGAACGAACACACTCACAGGATACTAGTGTGAAATAGCAACTTAAAGCTGATGTGTTTCGTATGGTGAGTGTAGAGAACAGGAGACCCTTTTTACTGGTTAAGGTTTCTAATTTTAAATGTACCTGGTTGGGTATAACGGTAGGTTGTTGCGGCATGGCGTCTTCTGTAACAGCGCCACGAGAGGGAAGGCACTTGCGCACACCTGCGCCGCGACCTGCGAATTTATCAAATTAATCTGTAGTATTTGATAATATTATCAAAATTGATCATTTTTAAAGATATAATGATGTAAAAGTCTATGATTGAAGTTGTTTACGCCCAAACATGGGCATTTGAAACTGCATCCAATAGCGTTTGACTCGGCGCATCGCCCGATGGTGTGAGGTGACGTAAGCGCCGCCGGGGGGGGGGGGGGGGGTTGGGAAGGGACGGCGGTATGCCGCCTCCCCCCCCCGTATGTTCGGCCGGATAGGCCGGGGATAGTAGCTTGACCGCCGCGGCTTTGTCGACCAGTTTGTATTGTTTTGCGACCGCTGGGTTGGTTGCGCGCGACCAGTGTTGGTTTTGATGGTCTAGAATTTGAGTAATTGTGCGCGTCTAACTTACTATCGAAGATTTGGGTCTCTTTAAGACCGCCTCGAATTGAGTTGTTTTTTTTTTTGAGCGTTTGAAGTGATAACGATGCTCTTTTGTTGAGTTGAATGATTTACTTACCTTTGCTTCCAAGTAATTCACGTGAATTTGTAAATTGATTGCATTTTGAAGTGCATTTGCAATATTTAATTTGCTTGTGTGGCCGGTTAATATCGTACGAAAGAATTTTAGCTTGTCGTGCTGAACGCTAACTTTGTGACTCGAGAAGAGACCGCGTTCGTTCCCGTATTTGTAGTTCTGTGCTGGGTGAACCCGGAACTTTGACCTACTATTCTTTACTTGTGCCGTGTGTCACGTGTTTGAGTACGATTAACGAGGCTTATCCTTGAGTTTGAAGTTAATTAAATGTACAATAAGTTGATAAACTAATACAGTGAAATAAAAGCAGAAGTTTTCAATTGGTGATCGCCCCCCTTGAGAGATCTCACCTTTGGAGAGAAGCAGCGCTTGTGGATCTGCGGTCAGACCTCAACGGTTAAGTCAGGTCACATTGTACACACTACTATACACCACTTACATGCACATCACTTATCACCTGACAGGTACCCTGTGGTCAACCCTACCTCCGGAAATCGGTAAGTTTTGTTGTGCTTGCTTATTTGTCAGCCGTTTTAGGAACCGTTATCCATAGGCCATTGGGCCCGATTCCTCGGCTGCTCGTCGATGAGGCTACTATGGGCCCTAGCCAAGGCGACCTTTTCCGGGGCAGCTGGGGGCCGTAACAATTCCTTTTATTTAAATGGGTTTGACACTAATTTCTAAAACATGCATTATCTGGTAGAATCATACATTATTGCATTATTTACTTTTGTAAGTACATTGTATTCGCATTATATTATCACTATATCGCAGGTATATTCCAAGGAAGAATATATAAAGATAGAACAAAAGAAATTATTTATATTTATTATTAACATACAAATTATTTGGTATAAAACTACTTTTACGGATTTTATCGCGTTTAATTATACTTATTTTTAAATTCCCGTCCTTTCGAGTGCTTTCCAGCACCCATGGTCACGGGGGACTGAGGTGAATGACGTCCCGATGTCAAAGTCGAGACGTCGGGAATTTAAAAATAAGTATAATTAAACGCGATAAAATCCGTAAAAGTAGTTTTATTCAATGTGTAGTGTTCGCGTAAATATAAGAAATCATTATACAAATTGCATTTATACCGCTGACTACTTTTCTTTGTTTACCTTATTGGTTGGTAGTGAATGCTTCAAGACGTTATGTTCGACGGTTCTCGTACTTTTGTGCAACAAAGTTTAAATAATTAATATTTATTTAAGCTTTGTTTCATTTTTAAACCAAATAGATCAATACATCATGTCGATAAACAAATAGTAAAATCATTATATAGTATTATTTTTTAACGTTGCAATTAAGTTTTTTTGAAGAATAATTATTGGGTACCTTCAACGAAGGCGGTGGGAGGCTTGTGGTAGACGGAAGCGAGAGAGGCGATGTGGCAGATCAACTCGTCTAGTAGCGTGGGTTCCAGAAGGTCCGTTTCCTCGGAGATGAGGGGCTTGTCCGCCAACACCACTTCCTTGGCAGCCGCGGGGTCAGTTGATAGCAGCCGCCAGTAGATGAACCCTCGGTCTCTGCACACCATGATAATGATGATGATTAATGATAGTCTTTCTAACCGATTTCATTTACAGCAGCTTTCAAACATTCGAAAGTCATCAACTAGAAGATAAAGCGTGTCACATTTTTTAGTGTACACAGATGACAAATTACTACACAGTACTTGTGGTAAGTAAGTAGATACTGCAGACTCACTCTTTTTAACCTACTATAACAACTGATACATGGTAATTTATTATGATATGGTGGTTTCCGGCAAATATTCCAATTAAGGACCCCTATGCAGTAAGAAAACCATACAATTTTCAACTACAATATTCCAGTGCTTTGCAATGACCCCTTAGACGTTGATTGGATTTGCTGCAATTACAAGTACAGACATCACACATAAAAAAAAACAGGGATAGCTTTACCTTATTTTATGCCCAATTTCTACAAAAGTAATAATATATAATAATGCAGCCATGTTGTCAATTTTGGAGAGTTGAGTAATGTTTTGTAAAGGTAATAACTATCAACAATTTTAAGAATTGTGCTATTTGAAACGCTCACCTGAGGTCAGGATTGTCAGAATCCTGTGTGGCGAGACTTAGTACATGCTGAACCAGTTCTTGAGTGTCTGCTGGGCGCTTTAAGAACAACTTCACTACGGCTGTCAGAAGCTGAAGTTGAACCTATAAATATACGCACGTAATATATAAAAGGTAATAATCACGTTGTTTATCATTTTAAAACTTATAAGTTATAAGAAATTAAGCAGTATGAGCCTGCGCTCACAGACGGCACGGCACGGCACGGCGTGGCAAGGCACACTTCCGTATGCCGAAGGTGCTTGCCACACAACTCAAGGCGCGCTCGTGCACCGGGCGCTCGCGCGAGTCGCTGCATTGCCGCCGCAACGGACTAGATTCAACCTTGTTTCAATTACTTAGCAATCACATTCCTTTAACAACATGAAGTAACTTATGCGTTTCACGTGATGCAGCGCCGTGACGCGGCATCCCATGGAATGCTGTCCGCGGGGTCGCGCGAGACGTTTCGGTCTATTCGTGTTGAAATAAAGGAATGTCAAGTGTTAATTTCATTAAAAAAAGTCGAAAATATTTTGTCCATGAAAAAAAATCCTTTGACAAGCCGTGCCATCTGCGAGCGCAGGCCCTATAGGAATAGCACTGTAGTAGAAGAAATCTACTAGTAAATCTTGACATTCACATTTTATTATATATATATGTATTTAAAATAGTTTGACTACATATAATAAAATAATTTTTATATAATTTCATTTTTTTTTGTCTAAATTTTGAACAATTTGGCCTAAGAACAACTTGATACAATAAGAACTTATTTTGCCTCTCACCTGTGCGTTCTCATCGTGGAAGCCTTCGAGGAAGGAGTCAAGCAACTCATCCGCGTTGTCAATACGCTCTGCATATTCTCCAACTATCCATACCTGGAAATACAAGCAATTTTAAATGGGAAATTATCACAGTCATCTCGTATAAAATCCACAGCTAAATATGGACCTCTTCCACTTTGGAATCATTCGTTGAAACTTCCACATTTAGCAGGTAGATTGCTAAGCACTTTATATCAGACACTTCAATCTACATAGAATAGAATAACTTTTATTTAAAATGGATTGTGTCACTTATTTATCACTGGTTCAAAAAATAGGTGTTCCTCTGGGAGGAACCATGAAGAAACCTAGTCTGGTTATTGTGGGTTTTGTATGTTTCAGATAATTATTTGTTTTATCAGTCTCCGATTGACTGCAACCAAAATATCTTATTATTGTAATTTTCCTGAAGTGAATTGGCTTTTAAAATATATCCACTTAATCAGATTAAGTAGATATATTTTAGTGTGGACAGCAGAATTAAACCCTGATGAAAAAGAGAGCCAAAAATACAAACAAATATTATTTAATATAAAAAATAGGGTAGCTTTAGATACATTTATGTTAGAAGCATGTAGCACTATCAAGCTATTTACCATTGACGCCCTAGCTTCTGGTTCATCCAATGTATCGAGGTTCTCACAAAGTGTGCTGATGATACTTTCGTATTTGTTAGGATACTTGCGGAAAATGTCCTTAATCACTACAATGGCTTCTTGCACCACATAGTTTACTTTCGTCTGAATCAGTTCCAAGAGAGTTGACACGCAGCGCTCCGCTGATGGTTCAACCTTGAAATAAAATAAAATGTGTATTTTAAGAACAAGATTTATTTAAATATAGACGGCTTTGAAGCGCTGGGTTCTATCTAAGTGCTTGGTAGAGTTCAAAAACTAATTCTTTTATATTTATTTTTTTATTTAAAAAAAATACTACTAATGCTATTAAGCATTACTAATATTCCCTTTAACCACTTCTGGTAAGCTTAAAATGCTTGTGTTAGAAGTGGTTCACGACAGTAGTCGAATGGCAGATTCGAACCCACGACCTTTCGAGTTCGCGGTCCATGCCCTGCCATTAGGCTACTGACATCCTGTTATAACAGCTGTTTTGAGCAATTGTCTTTTAATATCACGTTAAAATAATTCAATGCATACCTTTATAGCACACCTTCCTATGGCTCGCACAGCCTTCCTGACGAAGTCCACGTCCACTTCTGTGGCGTACTCTTTGAGCTCGCCCAATACCTGAGCGATATTCGCTTGTGACGCCAAACGGATCATGATGTCCAGTTTCTCCAGTTTTACATAAATCGGGTCGTTGTATTTTACAAAGAACACCTGGACAGAAGAGATAAAATTAGCCAATATGACAGAAGTACATGGTAGGGTATTATATTGTAATGGTGTCTTGTTGACCCATTTTATTGGTAAAGTAACATTCTACAATATATGTCCCACAGCTAGGCATTATACGTCTAGTAATTTCTAGAATGGTTTAAATTAAGCGTCTGTCGTTGTTACACTTTACAAGTCTCGAAAGATTTAATTTTTAATTCATCGTGTAGATTTCGAAGCGGTTATTTCCTTCATAGCCGAGTACGTGGTTAATAAATTCTTTAAATTGCATTTTTTTATATCATAACATTTTTGTTAGTGCCAGTGGGGATCGAACTCGATTACTCGTGTACTATGTAATTGTAATAACACTATTGAAGCGATAAAAAATCAATTAGGTTTTAAAATATTAATATCCACCCAATCTGAAACAGCCCAAACAGTGAACTACATAGAGTTATGAAAAAGAGAGATGAATATACAAAAAAAAAATGATTTAGCCCGCTTTTTAAAAAAAATCTCCGGCTTTGCATGAGTGATTTCTGGATCTCGACAACTGCGCCACCTACCGGGTCCAATTGTGAATCGTTTAGATCATCCACGGACCCACTCAGACACACACAAAATTTCATCAAAATCGGTTCAACCATTTTAGAGTTTTTGCAAGACTAACGGACAGCAATTGATTTTTATATATAGAGAAGATAGTAAAATGTAGGATGAAGAAGAGAAGTGATTTTTCATTTTCTCTATATTTTATTTCAAGAAAACTACAAAGAAGTCGCTATAATTAAACTTTAAAAAGTAACAATAAATAAATAATTTCCACATAATACTTTTCAAAGTCGTAAAAGGTAAGACAGCGTATCGAAAAATTAAAGCCTTGACTTCAAGAGGTTTTGAAGTCTGTTATTAATATTACTTTTTTTATTAAGTTGAAAATTTTCACCCCCCCCCCCCCCTCTATTTTTCCACCCTTAGGGTTGGAATTTTTTCTTTATAATTATATCATGGGACCACGTCTGAAGTATAACATAAGTATACAACACATTTCTTATATTCCTTTTTTTTAAGTTGTTTAAAAACCAATTTAACTAATATACAAACCTTCATCTCATGCTTGAGAATATCAGGACGTTTCTGCACAACCAGGTTGATATTCCTCAGTGCAACGTACTGGACCTCTGGTTCCGCACTCAGTAGAGTCACTAGCGGTGGTGCCAACTTGCGTGACAGAGTGCTCACCAGTTCCGTGTCTTCCGACAACATTTCCATCAACTTCATCAGCACCTGAACATATTAAAAATAACCAAGATATTTTTGGAATATTCAAAATTTTAGGTTGAAATTAATCTTGCAGTTGTAAATTAACACTTTCACTGTCCGATTTTCAGACACAATTAAGACAATATCAATCAACTATATGTATTACACGGGCATGGACGTATAAAAAAGGCGTACTGAATCTCGCTTTACAATCCAGTGTAGCACCTAAAATAAGCCAGTTCGCTTGTACGTACAAGGGGTCACGCATACATTTACACTAATAATAACTCTAGGGCTAGTTATTTCGCAACAAACGTCGTCCGCGAGAAGTAACTGTCGTAAATAAAAACAAAATATAAGTATTCAGTCTAGCGTCGTTAAATCTTGCAAAAATCATGGTGGTTTTATGAAAAATAATCAAGAAGTCACTTTAATAGAAAAGTCTGTAATTATAATCACTTATTTGAGAATTTTTGTTATAAATTAAATTGCTATTTTTAGAACACAAAGCATGCGTCGCGTGTTCGTTTCAGTGTTCTTAATTATTTTTGGGGGAAATTACCTGAAATTTAGGAAATTGCTATTTTTACCCACGTCGGGACGGATAAAGTATCTATGTGTTTGCCCTAAGAGGAAAACTTGGATCGATTAGAATGCGGTTTTTTGCATTAGATATTCTGATATGGCTTCTGAGAAGGTTCTTAGATAATGAAAATTTGTATAAACAAATTTATTGTAAAATGAAATATGTTTAAAATAAGGCTAATGTTACGGCCTACAGCTGCCTAAATAAGAGTAGAATCTTCCGGGCCCATAGCGGAAGACCTTACAAGCAGATGCAGGTCAGGCCTCCTAAAGCCAAAGTGGAAAATCTCTAATTACAATAAATTAACGGGGGTCGTTCGATCTTGCTGCTATTCAACAGGGAGAATATTAAACCGAGCTTACTTATCTATATCCAAGGCGACTGGTCCCTCAGGATTCGGTCAGGTCGCATGTGGTTGTGTGGTGCAAGGGAAGTAAGGTGCTGTGATGTGTATCTGGGTGTGACTGGTGGTGATTGACCTTATTAGACCGTTGCCGTTGGCAGCAGCCCGGACGTCAGCACCGCTCCAAATTGAGGTAATCTTCCGCGGAGATTTCTTGTGGAGACTTTCCGTCCATAGTCAATTTCTTCGTTCGTCACGATGACAGTCCATTAATTAACTTACAGAAGCCACGTTTCGTGTGGCAACAGTTATTTCTAGAATATCAAATGCCGCACTAGCTAATATCGTCAAATGCACTTATACAGATTCTGAGTTAGACACAATGAGTCCCGAGTGAAGGTCTCAAGCAAGGGATGCGCGTTACAAATCCCAGAGAGTATATTTACTAGACGCGCCTAAATTATTCCGAGTTCCCGACAAAAATGACAGCGTGCTGTCCCAAGCACAGCTGGCAGACGACTCCTATTTGCCCTCGCGCGTTCTACGCACGACCGAACGTCAAACCGGTATCGCCGAGCCGCGCGCTCTCTGACATCAATCCCGAAATCAGCGTTCGGGCGTAAACAGCTAAAAAAGGTTCTAGATATATTTTTGGCCATAGTTCAATATGTTTCGCTTGTGCTTGTTCTTGGTATTTCCTGTAAATACTAGGAACAAGTACACGATGTTGTGAAAGCGTACAAATTGCCATTGGAGTCGAGCTCGACTCCATGGGGCAATGTATACGCTTTTACAACAAAGTCCCAGAAAATATGCAGGCCTTATCTATCAAAGTTTAAAATTTTTACTAGGCGAAAATTATTTTATACTACTAATGAGCAAATGATTGATAATAATCCCTGGAAATGAGGTGATCGCTACCAGGCTCTTTCTAAATGTTTTCATACTAATTGTAAAAATTAATATACAGTGTAAACTCTATATAAGGACACTCAGGGGACTGTACATATTTTGACGTTATAGAGTTGTCATTAAATGGAATGAAGAAAAATTTGTATTAGAAAAAGAAAAAGTTTATTTCAGACCAAAGTTAGTAAATACATAAAAACGATTGTTATTTGAACGCTATTGCATATAATCTGTTATTTTCGTCTGACGTCTTGCTGCACCAGTAATTGTGTTGAATTTTTTTACTTATTTTATTCATATTTTGCGATATTGAGTGAGCTTGGTGCTAAAGAAAGTACTTTTCCAATAATTTTGCTGCTTCAAGAGCTTCTTTAATGCTCGGCGGAGGCTCAGGCTCATCTTCTTCATCTCCTTGTTTTTGATCCTCACTTTTTCTTACCGAATCCAAAATTTCTTTGTCTGTGAGTAAAGCCGTTGTAAGCAGGCAGTCGTCTAATTCGATGTAGGTTTGAAGATTTTCTGTAAATTTTTCTGACATGTTGAAACCACTTAGTTAATGGAAGGTCGTCGTCGCTATCAAACTCCGGTTCCTTTTCCACCTTATCACTCATAGAATTTGTACAAAGTCCAGTAGGTCGAAAAGAGTGCTTTACAGTTATGGATGTCACTTGTTCCCAGGCTTCAGCATATTAATAGAAGTTTTACCATCAGATTCGACGAACTCCATCAATAATTTCCTTCTGTAGTGACCCTTGAGGCTTTTAATCACGCTTTGATTCAAGACACTAGTCGTATTTGGAGGAAGAAATGCCAACTCTATGTTTTGACGGTGGACGGTGGACAGGGCAGTTGTCAACAAGTAAAATTTTTCGTTCCTTTAATTCTGCATCCCACTTTCGCAATTCTTCTTCAAAAAGTTGACTGGTCATCCAAGCTGATTTATTAGCTGTATACGTCACTAGCATTTTTTTTTAATTCTTAAAACACCGCGGATTTTTCAATTTGCCTATTACCATCAGCTTTTTTTTTCTGTGCCACCCATATTAGCAGCCACAAGCACTGTAATATGCTCCTTGGAGAGCTTTCCTCCCACACACATTTCCCCTTCAAATTTCAGAGTTTATCTGGGTTCATCTTATAGAAAATTCTTGCTTCTATAGCATTAAAAATGTCACTTGGGGCGTATTTTTGTGTCAATTTTGACCACACTCTATTAATCCAGTCGTGAGTAACATTTGTATCAACACTTCGTGCTTCTCCACTAATTTTGCTATAGTTGATATGATTACGTTGTTTGAATTTTCCGAGTCATCCTTCTGACGATTTGAAAGAAGTTGAACTTCAGCAAACTTCTCCGCCTTAGCTTTACGATTGGCCCCGAGATAGGCATATTATTCTGGCACTGTCGGTGAAACCATGATAGTACAGCTTGATTTAAATCTTCGTATTTAGGTTTCTTTAATTTTTGGGAAGATTGTCCATCCTCCTCTGCTTGTAGAATTTTTTCTTTATTTTTCCATATTGTGGACACCGTAGAGCGACTAAATCCAAAGCGTCTACCAACATCACTCATCTTCTCTCCCGCCTCTATTGCGCGTATCAGTAACACTTTTTCGTCAATACACAGTGATTTTCTCTTACTTGCCATGTTTACAGTTTGAGTCTGTGAGCATTGAGCAACTAAGAATATGACAACGTATAGATAATCCGTAACTCCTACTAACAACAGTCTACACAATGATTTCTTATATTTACGCGAACACTACACATTTAAATAAAACTAATTTTACGGATTAGATCGTGTATATTAACTTATTTCATATTCGCGACGTTTCTAGCACTTTACAGCACCCATGGTCACGGGGGGAACTGAGGTGTATGACGTCCCAATCCCACGGCTATCTCCAGATTCATCATTACAGCCTTTCATTAGTCCACTGCTGAACATAGGCCTCCCCCAAGGAATGCCACAAAGCACGGTCCTGAGCCACCTGCATCCATCGACTTCCTGCATGTTTTACCAGGTCGTCACTCCATCTCGTGGGGGGTCGCCCTACACTTCGCCTACCGGTACGAGGCTGCTACTCAAGAACCTTTCTTCCCCATCGGTTGTCGGTTCTTCGAGCTATATGGCCGGCCCATTGCCACTTCAGCTTACTAATCCGTTGGGCTATGTCGGTCACTCTGGTTCTACTGCGTATATCCTCATTTCTAAGTTTATCACGCAGAGAAACTCCGAGCATAGCCCTCTCCATAGCTCGCTGAGCGACCTTGAGCTTCCTCATACGGCCAGCAGTGAAGGACCACGTCTCAGATCTGTACGTTATCACTGGCCACACGCACTGGTTGTACAGTTTCGTTTTAAGGTTTTGAGGAATGTCTGACGAGAAGATGTGTCGTAGTTTCCCGAACGCTGCCCAGCCGAGTTGAATCCGTCGATTGACCTCTCGGTCGAAGTTGGACTTACCTAGTCGGACTATTCGTCCCAGGTAAACATGCTCATCAACAACTTCGAGCTTAGTGCTCCCAACAACTACCGGCATAGGTGTGACATGGACATTGAGCATGATCTTTGTTTTGTTCATGTTCATCTTAAGACCTATCCGTTGGGAGACACTATTGAGGTCATTGAGTATGGTGCTTAGATCCTCCAGCGATTCTGCCATAAGGACTATATCGTCGGCAAATCGAAGGTGAGTGATGTACTCGCCATTGATGTTAATACCGTATCCTTTCCAGTCCAGAAGCTTGAAAACGTCTTCCAATGCAGCGGTGAAGAGTTTTGGGGATATAACGTCACCCTGTCTTACACCTCTCTGCAATTGGATAGGTTTCGTACTCTGGATCTATACTCAGATAGCCATCGTAACCCTACTGTACAAGCACTTCAGCACTTCGATATACCGACAGTCAACTTGGCACCGCTGAAGGGACTGCAGCACCGCCCAAATTTCGACGGAATCAAAGGCTTTCTTATAGTCCACATACGCCAGGCATAGTGGCAAATTGTACTCCTCGGACTTCTATACAACTTGCCGAAGGGTATGTATGTGGTCTATGGTGCTAAGGTGCTTTCGGAAACCGGCTTGTTCGGGAGGCTGGAAGTCGTCAAGTCTGCGCGCGAGACGATTCGTAATGACTCTCGAAAACAGCACGTAGACGCGGATCAGAAGGGAAATCGGTCTGTAGTTCTTCAAGAGAGCGTTGTCACCTTTCTTGAAGAACAAGACCACCGCACTTCTGCTCCACGCCTCCGGTGTAATGCCACCATGGAGGACGAAATTAAAGAGCCTCTGAAGGACTTCAAGTACCGGTTTTCCACCCGCTTTTAGAAGCTCCGCTGTAATTCCATCCTCGCCTGGGGCCTTGCCGTTTTTAAGAAGCTGGAGAGCCATTCTAATCTAGCTCAGACTGACGTCCGGGATATCTTCGGAATAGTGTCGGATAATACCTCCAGATTTAAAATTATTAATTTTTGTTCCGATCTACGCCTTTATGAACTTACAGTATCTTGAAGTCTTACAGTTGTATGCTTGGGTTGGGATTTAATTTTATTAATTATGGGATCCCAAGCAGATGGTAGCACCCAGCCATCTTCTCTATTGAAATTAGGATGTTTTTTGATTTTAATAGCCTCGCGAATCATCCTTGGAAGGAATCGGTGTTGCTTAGCGAGGATTTGTGGTCTATCAAATCTAATGTAATGACGGGGGCGATCCTCCTGTACGTGTTCCTTGAACTAATGATTCATGTAGGAAGCCTACATGAATCATTCGTTTTCACATCGTTGTCTTTAACAGGTGATTACGTACCAAACTTTTTAAACACATACTTATTGGGAGCTTTCGATGTCATCGGGCAAGGAGTTCCAAAGACGTGTAACCTGAACTGTAAAGGAGTTACCATAGAACCAGTGAAGTGAACAAGAATAAATATTTTGTTGTTAAACAGAATTATTCGATTTCAATCAAAATCTAAATTCATAGAATTTTTTATACGTCAATTGTGTTATTTATATTGGTTACGTAATAATAATTAGTATTGTGTCAAAGTTATGTTGTATTTTAATATAGTTTTTAAAAAAATATGGAGAAATTTTGTTTCACATGACAACCTTTTATTGCACGCAAACAGCCTCGCTTGCACCGCCACCATTGCAGTGAATCAGTTCTTTCTTAACAAAATTCTTTATATCATCCGCCTTTTTTTATACGTCCATGTACATGGAACAGCAAATGGGTTAAACAATTATTGACTCTCATATTTTGTGAAAGAAAGTTTTTTTTTTTATAGAATAAGGGTGACAAACGAGCACACAGTCCACCTGATGGTAAGTGGTTACTGTGGCCCATAGACATTTACATCTATCTACGTTTGCGAATTAAAATTCAGATGTGTTGTCAGCCGTGAGGACTAAGATAGAAAGCCTCTTTTCCAGTAAAATGGGTCTCCGGTTCTCTACACTCACCATACGAAACACAGCAGCATTAAACTGCTATTGTACGCTGGTATTCTGTGAGAGCGTGGTCCTTCCCTGGTCGAGCCGACCCATTCGTGCTACAACTATACTATTAATATAGCACCAGCATGGCTCTACCACGTACAAAAGTACGAAAGTTACCAAAGTACGAAAATAAGTCATACTATATTGCCAGCAACTCAAAAATGAAACAAAACAAGCTAGGAATTGTCATTGTCCTTAATTATAATAGTTGGTTTTCGCTTACTTAAGTATTAATTATCTCTATAAATGTCTCTCTCTATTGTACATTGAAACGAGAAAGGGCAAGTTTTCTTAGCACTGTTACAAAATTAATGAATATATTACATTTTGTTGAAGAGTGATCAAATTTTCTACATAAGCCACGTCGAACATACGGATCATTATCAAGTCAAGCGACCCGCAAAGCTCCATGAGGCAATCTATAGGGGGCAATCTATAGGCCTATGTTCGTAAGTGGACTTTTATAGGCTGTAATGGATACAACTAGTTTATTAGTGTGCAAGGTTACTATCAAGGTCGCGATGGAATGCTGTTTCTTGGGACTCCACGGCAGTTGTTGTCAGTGTGCGCATGCCTTGTCTGTAGGGATGCCCAAGCATCTCTTGCCGTACCATGCCGTTGGGTGGTGGGGAGGTGTGTGATCACCTTGACTGTGGAAAGCACGACGGCTGCGTTGGCGTGAGCGAGACGAGGCGTGATCCGCTCGCAGATGGAGTGCGCCTCGCGAGCGTCCCGCGGCGAATAGTTTGACAGCGCGTCCAGGATGAACACCTGCCCCCACTCCGTGCACTCGTTCAGCGCCGTCAGCAGCTTGTTGATCGTCGGCGCGTTCATCTCTGGACGGGAGACCACACGACAGAGTGTAAGGTCCGGTATTTTTTTAATTTTAATCAAATCATGCTGATTTTTTAAAAAAAAAATCATGATTTTATTGATTTTTTTGGTATATTTTGAATTTCACGAGTTGGTAACACTTTTTGACATAGTATAAGACTGATTAAGAGTAAAATAATAAATACTGTATTAATTAAAGTTCATATCTAGTGTGAATTTCTAAAAAAAATTTTTGGTTGATTTTACTAAGTTTATGAGACTGACAGACCTCATCGCTACAGTCTTTGTTGATTTTCCAAAGTTTATGAGACTACTGTAGTAGAATAATAAGAATAACATAAACCAATAAAATATTTTACTTATTTTAAGCCCGTTTTATATCATTTTCTGCATATTAAATTAATTTATACATGTTGATTTAAATCAATGATTTTTTTAATCAAAATCAGGCGATTTAAATCGTGATTTAAATCATGATTTAAATCGGTCTGATTTAAATCAGCCAACCCTGGCTAATATGGTACACAAAATGTGTGTCTATCTACACTGATGTGTGGTACTCAAATGTTGAAATTGTGAAATGTGAGTTTAAGTAAGTAAACTCGAGTTTGTTTCTGAAACACAGGATAAGTAACATGTGAAGAAGATAATGTCACTAATAATAAGTAAAGTTTGTGTAATGGCAGCGGAAGAGAAATCACTGCCCCATATCTTCTCGTGAGTGTCTTAAGAGGCGACAAAGAAAAATGAAACAGGAGATGGGTAACTGCATATTTCCGAAGTCCAATATCCTTTTTATGAGGCAGTTATTGGGGGAGCCTACATCCAGCAATGGACTTTTATAGGCTGTAATAGATGGATGGATAAAATAATTAGTTAAAGAAGGAAAATATGTTTTAACTATTTGCTTACTTTAATGCTTGATTAGCTTTCATGTGATTACTTTCGCATTTTTTATATTATATAATACTAGCAGATACTACACTAAAATAATGTAAAATTAAAAATTTTGTACAGCCAACTTCAATATAAATTATTAACAACTCAAAAACTATTGGTCTGACCTTAATCAAATTCATATGGGACCACATGTGAAGTACCAGCTTTCAAATAAAAAAAGAATCATCGAAATCGGTTCATTCAGTAAAAAGTTATGAGGTAACACACATAAAAAAAACATACAGTAGAATTGAGTAGTCTTCTTTTTGAAATGGCAGAAAAGAAATATTTCGAAGGAATTGGTATTTGCCAAACAGGGAAAAGTCGAAAAACGACTTCATGAATGGACCGAATATGTCTAATACATTTTTCTTGTGGTCTCAAAACCATCTCTGCATTGCCTAACCGGTGTAGGGCACATCGGTTGGATGGTTTCAAAGCCAATAATAGACATAGGTAGAAACAATTTTTGTGTTTTATATATATAGATAAATATATTTGGTACAAAATACTAACCCACAAGTGGTTGCCCTGAGACACTAGCTTCATTGATCTCTGACAGCGCAGCAACAGCGTTCGCAACAACCATTGGGTTGGAGTCACTCAATAAATCCTTTAATTGATCAAGGAAACCCTGCAAAAGAACAGATATTCTAAAGATACAGAGGAATTCATTCAAACTAAGATAATCTCTATATATAAAAATCAATTGCTGTCTGTTAGTCTCGCTAAAACTCAAAAAAGGCTCGACCGACTTTGATGTAATTTTTGTGTGTATTTGAATGAGACCTTGGATGGTTTAAATTCACTATTGGACCCGGTAGGTAGCGTTGTTGTTGAGATCCAGAAATCAATCGTGCGAAGGTGGGGCGGATCGCTATTATATAATATAAAACTTTTAAAGATGTTAAATTAAGGTTTCGGAGACAATACAATTTTAATTATGGTGCTGATGATAATGTTTACACTTACTTGATCCTCAACCATGCTAGATGATATATCGTACAATTTAGCAACGCAAACTGCTGCAGTTTTTCTCACATATGGATCCTCATCCTTCAAACACTTGCGCAGAGGTTCACATAAATACTCTGTGATTTTATCCACTCTGATGCAACCCATCGTCCTCACAGCCAACGCCCGGATCAATGGGTTTGAATCTTCACAATCCTGTTAACATTCAATAGTAAGTTCTAAATGTTGTTAAAGAAACCAATACATTCATATTATTGAAGCAATTTATCTAAAAGCATATTATATGAGTATACATTCGCTATTCCTATTTATATTTACAATTTTTTTTAAGAACAATTATATCTTGATAAAGGTAAAATGTGTGTAAAATCATAAAATGTATGTGGTCATGTGTGAAGCAGTATTAATGGCACGAGAAGTCTGGGACTGTAATCGCCAATCCAGCTGCCGAGCATGTCTAGCAAATCCTTTCTACTGTCAAAAAGTCATCATCATCATCATTACAGCCCTTCACAAGTCCACTGCTGAACATAGGCCTCCCCCAAAGAATGCCACAAAGCACGGTCCTGAGCCACCTGCATCCATCGACTTCCTGCATGTCTTACCAGGTCGTCACTCCATCTCGTGGGGGGACGCCCTACACTTCGCCTACCGGTACGAGGCTGCCACTCGAGAACCTTTCTTCCCCATCGGTTGTCGGTTCTTCGAGCTATATGGCCGGCCCACTGCCACTTCAGCTTACTAATCCGTTGGGCTATGTCGGTCACTCTGGTTCTACTGCGGATATCCTCATTCCTAAGTTTATCCCGCAGAGAAACTCCGAGCATAGCCCTCTCCATAGCTCGCTGAGCGACCTTGAGCTTCCTCATACGGCCAGCAGTGAAGGACCACGTCTCAGTTCCGTAAGTCATCACTGGCAACACGCACTGGTTGTACAATTTCGTTTTAAGGTTTTGAGGTATGTCTGACGAGAAGATGTGTCGTAGCTTCCCGAACGCTGCCCAGCCGAGTTGAATCCGTCGATTGACCTCTCGGTCGAAGTTGGACTTACCTAGTCGGACTATTTGTCCCAGGTAAACATACTCGTCAACAACTTCGAGCTTAGTGCTCCCAACAACTACCGGCATAGGTGTGACATGGACATTAAACATGATCTTTGTTTTGTCCATGTTCATCTTAAGACCTATCCGTTGGGAAACACTATTGAGGTCATTGAGCATAGTGCTTAGGTCCTCCAGCGATTCTGCCATAAGGACTATATCGTCGGCAAATCGAAGGTGAGTGATGTACTCGCCATTGATGTTGATACCGTATCCTTTCCAGTCCAGAAGCTTGAAAACGTCTTCCAATGCAGCGGTGAAGAGTTTCGGGGATATGACGTCACCCTGTCTTACACCTTTCTGCAATTGGATAGGTTTCGTATTCTGGTTCTGTACTCGGATAGCCATCGTAGCCCTACTGTACAAGCACTTCAACACTTCGATATACCGACAGTCAACTTGGCACCGCTGAAGGGACTGCAGCACCGCCCAAATTTCGACGGAATCAAAGGCTTTCTCATAGTCCACATACGCCAGACATAGTGGCAAATTGTACTCTTCGGACTTCTGTACAACTTGCCGAAGGGTATGTATGTGGTCTATGGTGCTAAAGCCCTTTCGGAAACCGGCTTGTTCGGGAGGCTGGAAGTCGTCAAGTCTGCGCGCGAGACGATTCGTAATGACTCTCGAAAACAGCACGTAGACGCGGCTCAGAAGGGAAATCGGTCTGTAGTTCTTCAAGAGAGCGTTGTCACCTTTCTTGAAGAACAAGACCACCGCACTTCTGCTCCACGCCTCCGGTGTAATGCCACCATAGAGGACAGAATTAAAGAGCTTCTGAAGGACTTCAAGTACCGGTCTTCCACCCGCTTTCAGAAGCTCCGCTGTAATTCCATCCTCGCCTGGGGCCTTACCGTTTTTAAGGTGCTGGAGAGCCATCTTAATCTCGCTCAGACTGACATCCGGGATATCTTCGGAATAGTGTCGGATGAGACTCGCTCTTGGATCGTTACTCACACTTGCGTGTGGCTCCAACGATGATGTGTACAGCTGCCCATAGAACCTCTCAATCTCACTCAAAATCTCAGGTGTCCCGGAAACGATGCTGCCACATTCTGTCTTCAGCTTTGACAGTTGGCTCTTTCTGGCAGACAGATCTCTGGCAAAGACTTTGGAGCCTTGGTTCCGCTCGATCGCTTCTTCAATACGAGCTGTATTGAAGTTACGTAAGTCCCGCCGCATGCATTTGGAGATCTGTCTGTTCAGATGCCTGTATGCTGTCAAGTCTGTTGAAGAATGTAGCTTCATCTCCCGTCTAACAGCCATGAGATTAAGAGTGTGATCGGAGAGTTTTTGTGTTCTTTTGCGGCGGGTCTTGCAGAACTTAGCTCCGACCGCATGGACAGTTTCCACGAGCTTGTCATTCATATCGTCCACTTCATTGCAGTCTTCCAGGCACTGAAAACGGTTTTGTAACTCGAGCTGAAAGGTTTCGGGACTTTGGAACAGAGCACGAGGGGGACGGAGCGTTGACTTCATTAGACGAGACCTCTCCAACTTAACGTTTAGGTTCAGTGTGCCTCTAACCATTCGGTGATCGCTACCAGTTTTCACCCTCGCGATCACGGAGACATCACTGAACAGTTGTCGTCTGGTCGTCATAATGAAGTCAATCTCATTTTTTGTGGAACCGTCGGGGCTCGACCAGGTCCACTTCCTGTGGGGCCGCTTCTGGAAGAAAGAGTTCATCATAAAGAGTCCCTCTTTCTCCATGAAGTCGGCCAGCTGCTGGCCCCTTGGGTTCCGTTGCCCTATTCCAAATTTCCCTACTTTCAGCTCACCGTTCTCTCTTGTGCCTAGTTTTGCATTGAAGTCTCCCATTAACACCGTATATTGGGTTTTGGAGGAATGCATGGCTCTAGAGATATCCTCATACATTTCCTCCACCTCCTCATCGGGGTGTGCCGAAGTTGGTGCGTAAACCTGTATGACCTTCAGCGAATACCGTTTGGTGATTCTGAGTATAAGGTACGCAACCCTCGTCGACACACTCCCGATCTTTACAACGTTGTTAACGAGAGACTTGTGGACGATAAATCCGACACCTCCTTGGGACAGATGGTCGCCCTCCCGGTGATAGAGCAAGTTGCCGGATTTGAGGATTACCGTGTCCTCCCCCTCTCTTCGGACTTCGGATAATCCTATAATATGCCAGCGCAACTTGTCTATCTCTTCTTCCAGCTCCACGATCTTCTCGTCAGTCCTCAGGGTGCGTGCGTTGTACGTTGCCAGGTCGAGTCGTCTAAGGTGGCAACCGAACCTCCACCGGAGATTCTTAGCACCCCCTGCCCCGCCGTTACCATGGTCGCCACCGTAGCCAGGAATAGCGGGGCCGCCGGGGACTGGGGGCCGTTTCTTTGTTACTGTCATTCATAGGGGGGTAATTGCCATAGTTGCCACGCTTGGCGAGCGGGTTGGCAACCGCAGTTTTTTTATTGTAATTTGGCTATTATCAGGAAGATGCTGCTGCCCATCTCCTGCCTGTTGCCCTTTGTCGCCTTTTACGACACCCACGGGAGGATATGGGGTAGTGGATATTCTTGACCGCCACTACACGGCACAAAAAGTGGACTGCTGATAAATAATAATAATAATAATAATTGTTTTATTGTTTCTCCATACATTGTCATGCATTACATACATTGAGGTGGCTCCAGTAAGTTATAAAATACTTGTGTTGGAACTACCTCGTTGCTTCCCTTAACCACCTTACAGTATTGAGACCAATCCATACAAAATAAGAGAAAAAAAATTCAGAAGTGAAAAAGAAATAGTGGACAGGTAAAAAGTATGTGTGTGTATGTGTGTGTGTGTGTGTGTGTGTGTGTTTGTGTGTATGTGTGTGCGCAAGCGTTTTACTTAGCTGGTACTGATTAAGATAAGCTCAGTTTTCTCATATGTAAGAGCTTTTATCCATAAAAATAAAAATATTTTCTCCAATCACACATTATTACATAATGTATTTTAACTCTTACTTGTGATTCCCTGTACTCAAAGAGGCTTAAGAAATTTGTGTGATGTATCGCTAGACACAAATGTCACTTGTAAAAACAATATGGTGCTTCGGTCATTCTTACAGCATATTATCAAAGTCCACAGAAGAACAAAGACAACCCCCTTAGATTGTCTCATAGGGCAGATATTTGCCATAGGTGCCACGCTTAGCAGCCGTTTTGGCAATCGCAATTTTTATTATTTTGAGTTGTTATCAGAAAGGTGCTGCTTCTTATCTCCTGTTTCATTTCCCATCTGTTACCACTTAGGATACCCATGAGATGATATAGGACAGTGGATTTTCTTTCGCTGTCAATTCACAGCGATGGTGCTTACTGTAAGCATATTCTTACAAAGATGTCAGGATTTTTATAGATCATTACAGGCAGGATTTGTTGTGTCTCTTTGCTCTGTGCAATTAAAAGTAAATTGTAAAAAAAATTAATTAATTTCGGTAAAATTTTGACCACTAGTAATAATAAAACTGTTTAGTGTAATATTTACATGTTTCTAAACTGGTGAGAAATTACTAAAACTATTGTTTGGTGAGTAAAGTGAAATTTATTAATTTACACAAAATATGTGTAACATACACATAATATACAAAATAATAGGAATAACGAATTTTATACCCAATAGTCTATGAATAAAGTAGCTTATGTGTTTATAACCTTAAGAGATATAATGAAGCATGGAATTCATATCTGTATCAATGCTTTTAATTTAATTTTAATTGGTAAAGATTATATATTTCAAGATCAAATGTAGATTTACACATCTGTGTGCTAGTGATGGGATTGTATTGCCTTATTGGATGATGTACCATGCAAATTTCGAATAACTAGCCATGCAGGGTGGACAATACCTCTTAGAACTATACCGTATCCAAATGCGCTGAAAGGAATTGTGATTTTTTATACAAAGGAAGACTAAATTAATTTATAAAATGTGTAAATCTACAGAGAGATGACTTATTGTTTTTGGATCATTTCAATTACCTTAACAAGCTGGTATGTTGGTAGATCCTTCCACCCATCATATTATGGTACAGAAGACATTAAAACGATAAAAAAGACAAGTCACACACACACAGATCACTACTCTTAGGTAGAAAGTATTATTACTTAAATATGTTATCATATGATACTTTTAAAATTTCCATGCTTAAAATTCAGCAAATCTCAAAGGCTTTAAGTATAATCTCAAATACTGTAAATATATTTTTTGAAATTGTTTTATACCAAAACATGGTTTTCCCAAAAATTAGGTAATTTTGTAGAGCAAATGTAAATTAACACCAAGAATTTGTAATTCTTGTACTTGTAATTGCAAACAGGCAAATTAACAATAAAAGCATTATATAGCAATAAATCGTTTTCAAACTGAAGTTAAATATAATAAGATAAAAGTGTAACTAAACACATTTTTTTTAAATAAAAACACATTTAGAGCATCATTTGCACATACCTTAACAAATGTATTGACAGCCATAATGGCCATATCGGGTTGTGATTTGGCATAATTCATCAGGTATAGGTAAACCAGTTTTTTGAGCTCCAAATTATCAGTTTGCATGCAGTTAACGACATCTGGGAAAAGAGCTGACACATCTTTTCCTACTGTCATTGATGCTATAACCTGAAAAACAAATTGTTGTTAAGTAATATTATGTCATCTGTTGGCTCATCTATAAAATATATATATTTAACCTCTCATCTAATCACATGTACTTAGACTACTAATACTTTATTAAGTCTGTAATCAAATGTAGTGATGACAGACTTAATGAAGTATTCCTTTTCAAATAATCTAGAACAGTTACAAATGTTTTAAATGTATTTTATAAATTGTATTATATATCGGCAGGTGAAGTGTAAGGTGTCCTTCCACTAGATGGAGTGATAACCTGCTAAGAAATGCAGGAAGTCAATGGATGCAGGTGGCTTGGGACCGTGCTTTGAGGCATTCTTTGGAGGAGGCCTATGTTCAGCAGTGGATTTGTAAAGGGCTGCAAAGATGATGATGATGATGGGCAGTTAAAAATTATTATGTTAATTATGATCGGTTGTACCTTTGTCTAGTTGAGCTCACAAATTGAGCTATCTCGAATCATAAGTTTCTTTAATTCTAATTCTAGATATAACAGATGTACTATGTTTAGAACCATTTATGAATTTAAAAAAATCATGATTTGGAGGGGACTTCATGTTAGATTCCCGTATAATAGTAAAATATTTTCTACTATTCCAGTTCCAGAACTAAAAGATATGGGTATTATATATATTTTTTGTAATCTATTACTTTGACTACTTTATATTTGAATTATATTATATTTTTTATAATACTGACTGACTAGGACTACACAATGGTAAGTAACTACTCTGCCTTCATAAGGAAAAACACATTTACATTAGCCCCTTTAAAAAGCTAAATGCAATTATTTATGATATTTAATTCTAAAATACTTGAAAATTTGCTTTTTACTACACATTTCTTGTAATGATTCAGAGTTATAAACAAGTCAGTTTCAGAAAAGATGCAGATGTGTTTTTTACTAATGAATGCAGTACTGCAGCCACTGGATACCTGTAACTAACTTCAAATAAATAAGGTCACAGATGAATTGTCACCCTGACTAAAATGGATCATCATCTTTAAATTAATACTTTTTTGCTTATCCTTTAAACCACCTTCCATCTAAGTCATTAGATAGAAATTAATTAAGAATTGAAATGTTGTTGACAATTAATCTATATTTTGAGTCTTAAATAAGGATAGATGTAGGTTTATAAAACATGCTAGTATATAATTGGTGCAAATTACCCTCATAATCCCATCATACTTGCAATAATGACCTAATAAAATCAATCAATGAGCAAGGCATAGATAGTAGTAAGTCAAAATATATGGAATGATGGTGATGTACATTTATCATCATCAATCAATCCAGTACATCATCATCATTTCATCTATTATCATTTACTACTATTTTCTAGGTCTTGCTTTAATAACAAATCTGGGAAGTTATGTATTAAGTTCTTAGATATAAAACGAAATATATAATTTCTTGAATACAACAGATTCGTAGTAAATATCCAAGGATAATATTAAAATGTGAAAGTGATACAAAAAACGGAAAAATAAATTTTCGTGTTACCTTTTTTACAGCTTCTTTCTTCTTTTCTTTTTTGTCGCTGTTCAGTTCTGACTTCAATTCGAAAATTTCACCCTTCTTAGTGGTGGTAAAATACTTGGAATCAGTCATTTTGATGACTTTATAGCTCAAAAATCTAATAATAAGGGTAATTAAAAGAATTTTATTAAAAGTTGATCTCTTAGAATCAATAATTTGAACAAAGTAATTTAAAGTGTTTACTTCTTTTACAGACTGTTGTTGATATTGTGCAAAATTTAACAGCGTTTCACTTTAAGTTCGTTAAAATGTAGAATTAATAGTAGTAGATTTAATAAATAAATTACAAATCCTGGCTATTATCACAATACCACAAAATGCACCAATGCACTTTTGACAGATTTTGAAGGATTGAAGGGGCGTAACGTAATCTAATCAGTAATTAGTCAATTCCGACCACAGAGTACATTTTTTCTTTTCTTTGGTAATGGATTCGTACGATTGTACTTTTACCCGTGTCAAGTATTATGACATTATCCTATAAATAATTATGCTTAATTTATTTGAAACCTTCTTCACAACACATTGATGCATCACATTGCGAAGTTTTTGGAAGATTTTGATGAAATCTTGAACCAACAGACAGTCGATAACGAATCAATGACGATAATATCACAAAGCGCTTAAACAGACACAATATCTTGAAATGTCACAGCCTCCAACAGTTTGCATACGCAGACATTAAATAAATAAATAAATTAATTACACAAAACCACAAAACTATTATGCATCAAATTTCACTTCAAACCATTATAATAATAATAAAGAAACGAAAAGTCAAGTTTCCGTCAAAACCTAAAGTACAAAAATTTGTATTTGTAGTTCTAGGGATGATAAAAAAAAATATCTATATTTTAGCGATACGAGGGCGACAATGAAAGTTTTTAGAACTGGCCACTTGTAAACGATATAATAAATAAATAAGTTCAAATTTTGAAAATGGAACTCTTTGCCACTATTATTGTGTATGTATTTTATTAATTTGTCATTCATTTGAAAATGGGCCAGATTAGGAGTATCCTTAACTGACGAGCGTGTATGCATAGATATATGGATGTAGAGGAGGCTAGAGAGGTGTGTCAGGATCGCGCCAATTGGAAGTCCGTAGTCTCTGCCTACCCCTTTGGGTGACAGGAGTGAGTGTTTGTGTGTTGTGTGTGTTGTTTACGATTTGGCGGCAAATTGAAAATTATCTGTGTCACGTCAGCATGAATTTAACGCGAGAAAATTTTCGTACAATGATTTTTTATGACTTTCGGTGTCATTTAAGTCAACAAGGAAGTTATGATAGACTTTGATTGGCCTTTCTCGATGAAGCCTCATCTCGTGCCACTCTTTACAACTGGTTTAATGAGTTCAAACGTAGTCGCACTAATCTCACCGATGATCTGCGTGAGGGACGGCCTTCTACGGCGACGACTGAAGATAACATCAGTGTTGTGCGGCGTATGATAGAGACTGACAAAAGAGTGACTTATCAGCAGATTTTTACGTGGTAGAGCCAAGCTGCAGCTATATTAGTAGTATAGTTGTAGCACGAATGGGCCGGCTCGACCGGGAAAGGAACACGCTCTCACAGAATACTAGCGTCAAATAGCAGCTTAACACTGCTGTGTTTCGTATGGTGAGTGTAGAGAACCAGAGACCCTTTTCACTATAAAAGAGGCATTCCATCTTAGTCCTCACGGGTGACAACGCATCTGCATTTTGATTCGCAAACGAGGATAAATGTAGATGTCTATGGGCCACAGCAGCCACTTATCATCGGGTAGACTGTGTGCTCGTTTGTCACCCTATCCTATAAAAAAAAAAGATTCGGACAAGCTTATGCATCGGTATGAGACAAGTGCACAAAATCCTCCATAAACATTTACCCCATCACCGAGTGGGGTAGGTATAGATTGCGAACTTCCATTAAGCACGATCCTAACACACCTCTCTTTTTTTCCCATCAACGCACATATGCTCGTCGATTAAAGTGCTCTTTAATTGGTCCATCTTCAATATACCGCAAATTTGGTTGATAAATTTCCGTCTAGGGCGACTCTTGCCGACTCTGCCACGCACTTCTTGTTACATACACAATTACATTCACAAGGACAAACATCCAGACCCGGAACAATTATTTGTAGGCCATACAAATACTTGTTCCGTGCGGGATTCGAACCCGCGGCCCTTAGCACAGCAACTCATTGCTAAGCCGCTGCGCCACAGAGCCGTTCTACAGCATAAATTTACTTTGTCACTCTTTCTTCATTCATTACACTACTTTTACTTTTACCAAATCTAAACGATTTAAAATCAACCCATATCCAACTTGACTGCAACTTGAATGCGGCTTTAAGACTATCAGTTTGTGTTTAATGACACAACATAAAAATGAGAATTGTAGCTAGAATTGGGACTCAACACAGACCTCCTAAGCTAATTATATGATACCTGTGAGTATGTAATGTACTTTTAAAGATTTTGTTAAGCCATAGAACAATCTAGCAAACGTTTCTGAAACAAATTGTAATTAAAATGAAGCTACATACTAGTTATAGAGGCGTGATAGCGAGGTGGCACGAAAAATTTATGCAAGGACTAGCTTTTAGCCATTCGTGTTTTAAAGCCGACGAATCTTTACATTCAAATTATATTAGCTTAAAGTTGCTCAAGTGTTTTTATTTTATAGAATGGGGGTGACAAACGAGCACACGGTCTACCTGTTGTAAGTGAATGTTGTGGCCCATGAACATCTACATTTATATTCAATTAAAAGTCAAAATGCATATGCGTTGTCACTCGTGAGGACTAAGATGGAACGCCTCGTTTCCAGTAAAAAGGGTCTCTGGTTCTCTACACGCACGATACGAAACAGTAGCATTAAGCTGCTATTTTACGCTGGTATTCAGTGAAAGTGTGGTCCTAAACCGATCGAGCCGACCCATTCATACTACGATAATATAGTTGCTCGCACGCACGTAAAGTTAAAAGTATTGTTGCGCGCCACTATTAATGTCTTGTGCATGGCATTCTAGTGTTGAGTAGCAGAACTAGGAGAGTCAAGATCCTTCTAGAAATTTCGGGATCGGGACCGATATGTACTCGAACATTCTAGATGTCGCTACAGTAGAAGGCTCTGGAAACTATCTGAGGCCCTATATAAGGCCGGTATAGACCACGACCGGGGCAGTATTGAATTGGTGATACAAGAGAATACTTCGAAGCGAAATAACGGCGAACTGTGTCTTATTATTAGTGTGATTTTAAGTTGTAATTAGTGTTGTGTAATTAAAGTGTCAATTTTTGTAATTCACTCGGCAGTTTTTAACTGTCTCGAACCCCAAGCTCGTAACAATTGGTGTCAGAAGTAGGATGAAATCATGCCGATTTTACCAAAGGACGACATGGAGGGTATCCGTACCCGAAGTCAACGCCAGCTGGAGACGGACCAGAGACGATTTGGTAATGCAACGCCGCAAACATCGGAAGGCCAGCTGCTGACCACGGAGGCCGGCCCGTCAGCAGCTCCTGCATCTGCTGCACCTGACTTAGGTGCTCTGATGATCATGCTGCAGGAACAGGCCCGCCGACAGGAGGAACTGGCTCGTCGACAGGAGGAACAGGCACGTTGGTTGGAAGAGCAGCTGCAGCGCGGACAGGAGGAACAAGCCCGTTGCTTGGAAAAGCAGCTCAAACGCGATAAGGAAGATTAGATGCTCCTCATGAAGGACCTTCACGCTACCTTCAGGAAAGAGATAAAGGAGGTAAAGGATAGGGTTGCTCAACATGACAACCGCCTGTCGGAAGTTGAAACCCGAATCGACCAAGTGAACAATCGGGTTGACAACGTGATGGTTGACGTGAAGAAAACGCTGGACGACCTCAAAATTGGGTATGGAGTTACAGCTCCCGTGGTAGCTACAACACCTTCTCTACGTGGATTCAAAGTGCCACCGTTCGACGGGACTTGGTCGGCCTACAAAATCCATTTCGAGGCTGTCATGAAAGCGAACGGCTGGAATAAAAGTCAGGCCATGACTGCTCTCACCCTAGGCCTGCGAGACCAGGCCTTAACTGTTCTGGAAGCTCTCGGTAAGGAAGTGACTTACGAGCAGCTCCTTGAGGCATTGGAGGCGAGATATGGCGACGCTCACCTGGAACACATCTTTCGTGCGCAAATCAAAGATCGCGTGCAACGCAGTAACGAAAACCTGCAGCAGTGGGCCCTTGAGGTGGAGAAGCTGGTTCGAAAAGCGTACCAGTCTGTACCTGCGCTCATTGTAGGGAACCTGGTGCAGACATTCATCGACGGCATCCGCGACCTTGAAGTCAGAGCTGCTGTGAGGCTCGGGCACCACGAGACGCTTAAGGACGCGTTGGCCCATGCACTGTAGGTGGATCGTTCCTATCGCGTCAGGGAGGTTGCCGCAGCTACAGTTCGTGACCGCAGTAAAGGATACAGGCCTAGGTGCTACGGCTGTGGGGAGATGGGCCATCTTCGATTCAGCTGCCCTAAGCGAACTGTAGAAAGGGAAGGTGATAGGTCTCGAGAGGGTAGTGCGACTAACAGCACCGCCCAGCGCAGCGGAAAATCTCATGACAACGCAGATGCATTTTCAAAAAGACCGTGTCCTGAAGATTGCAATTGTACTAGGCAAGAGGGTAAGGAAGTGGTATCTGTGAGGATACTCAGGACAGCCCAGCTCAGCAATGAGTGGAAGGACAGCTTACAACATGCACAGCAGGAAGATTCGGACATTAAGCTGACTCTGGAATGGATGAAGGCCAGTGCTCCTAAGCCCAAGTGGAGCGACGTCTCAGCGATGAGTTCGACCACGAAAAGCTATTGGGCCCAATGGGACAGCTTGCTGATTCAGGATGGAGTCGTGTGCCGTAATGGGAAAATGGTCGGGGAGACAATTGTCATTTGCAAATGATTGTCCCTAAGGCTAAAGTACCGGATGTTGTACAGCTGTACAATAGTGGTTGTTCAGGAGGCCACCTGGGAGTTAAAATAACTCTACTAAAGATCCGAGAACGGTTTTACTGGGTCCACTGTCGTGACGATGTCGAGGACTGGTGCC